CGTCTACTCTCTTCAGAGAAATTTATAATCTCATTAGACTAAACAAGCTTCTACCGCCCGTACGAGCCGGTTCGCCTTGCTGAAATCGGCCGAGGGCTCTTACGAGTCCGGCCATAACGTGGCCCGCGGCTCGGCCGTCAAATGGCAACACGCTGCAATCGGAGGGGGTGCGATAACTCACGCGTTTCTCCTTGCGAATCTGAATTATCGCTAGCAGTACGCGTGACATCGAAACGCGTATTCGCCCGACCGGTGCGCTTCTCGTTCGTCTCGCCGACGAACGTCCACCCAGGCACCGTGGGGTTGCGAATTCATATCTGACCCGGTGAAACGTCGCTCCGTGTAAGTACGCGCGTAAATGCGGCCAGTGACTCATTGTCGGTGGTGAGTCAACGACTAAACCGAAGCACCTCCGCTGCGTTTCGTCTTCTCTGCTTCCACGCACGTAAATATCCGTCCGTGGCTCGTCGTTCCGTTATCCTGTCACGGGACAGAGCTCCTGGTCGAGGATCAGGTGAAAGATATGGCCACGCGGCGCACGACCAATTTAGAGAGAATATTTCATCCTTACCGTCGTCCTTTTATTTATATGCCCGACGAGTCAGTGAGAGATACGATTTAAAATCGTCTACTGATCGCTGATTTTATTATATTAGATCTTCTACCTGGATTCTCGCTACAATTCTAACACACAGATCTTTTCGAAACATGGCGAAAATGAATTTTCCTTTCTTCCGAGTGAAAGTCCACTCCTGTGCACGAATCAACCTGAATGAACGGTATCCGAGACTCATGTGGATATATTAGCTTTCAAATTTGTAACAACGCTAACGCCCACGCATACGCAACATTACGGTTGATCGTTAAAACTCAGACAAGAAGTTAGGCATTGACTTAATAAATCCTGACGGAAATTCGGTAGAAGTTAATATGTGACAGAGACGACGGAGGCAACGTAAGATATCTTTATATTCTTTAATTGAAAAACGTTCGAACGGGGTTGGACAAAGCTCCCTGAGAAGTGTCTTCGATTCAGCGACACCCCACATCGACCTCGTTGGTCTCGGGTCTAGGCGCAGCCGACCCGAGATGACCTCGATTCACGGCTCAAAAATAACTCACCGTGTCCTCCCGTACGTTCTACCCTCCCCGCTTTTTCCCCGAGTCGTTCCAAATAAACGAGAGAAAAACACTGAAAGGCCGCCGCGATAAAGGTGTCCATATTTCTCGGGTTCGAGCTTCCAGTTGGCATTATCGCGTTCCCCGCCATCCGGGCTTACAATGGAAACGCATTAAGAATTGCCGTTAATATTGCGACGCATAAAATAATGGTACACCGTTTTAATTTACTGGTATAAGATACGGTGTCTACCGTGGTTATGCCGGCGCTTGTCAACGGTGGCCTCGGCGATTTCCTGCGTGCACACGTGCGTCGCACGTTTCGAGGAATAAAGGTCAAACGCGAGAAAAGGTTTACGGTGGCCGGCCTGAGCTCAGGTCGGCTCGCGTCCAATCGATCACCTCGTAAAGTTCGACGCAAGTCTCCGTCTTTGAATCCACTCTCATTTGTCAATCGGTTATTCTTCGAACGATAGAATAGTCTCGATGATCGAATCGATATCAAATTTTGCATCACGAACGGACCAAATCTGCATACAGGAAGTAGACGATAGGATAACTGACACAGTATTATTTCGTATTGAGTAATTGCTGTTTGCCTATGTGTCACGTATATGGAATTTGTATAACGTCCTCAGGTTTCGATTTTCGACGAGGTGGTCTCGAACTTACAGGAAGCGAGTATCGTCAGCGATAACGAGTGTAATAATAAAACTTCTGTTCAGCTCGAACGCTTTGTGTTCCCTTAGACAAGTTCATTCTTTATGGTTTGAAAGATAATAAGGGACAAAAACGATGTAATTCATTTCTCTCTCCGGCCCATAAACGTCTAATTTACTGCGATCCAAAAAGACTGATTATCCCAGTTAAATTGCGTTTAGTCTCTCTTGTCGTTTCTAGTATTGTCTTACAAATTGTAACTGTAATATGTTTAAAACGAGACTTTCTCATCGATGAGGTTTCAACGTATAAAAATGACGTTGCTGTCCTTAACACCTGTAATTATCACATTAGTGCCCAATTATTCCACGATCTTTCAAACGATTAAGGATGAAGAAATGAGAAGCACCGATCTTCCTGTTACGAATAAAAAATGTCCTCACGCGATAGGTGCGCGATGAAAGGCCGTGAGTGAAGTGGTCGGGCTGAAGACGTTAAAGGAGCCGTGTCATTAGCCGGGCTCGAGCTCATCTCGAGTGGTTCTTTTAATGAAGAGCGAACGCAGATACGAACGAGCAATCACTGCTGAACACCGTTCGAATTATACGTATTACTCCTTTTCTTTCTGCTCGATTCTTTTTTTTTTCGTATCGTAATTAGAGGCACTCTGTGCTGGACGTCGGGATTATGTTTCTTACGCTCGTGAAAACGCGCCGCGAACGTGTCATTACACGGTCTTAAACTCTTCCGGGCCCGAATCGTTCACGTCTTTCCGCCTTCAAATTTGCACGAGATGCCACAGGAATTACGGAGTCAAAGGAGATGAATGTTAAGACCGACCGAGTGTTTTTATTGACGACTTACAATAAATATTTCGTTTTTCACGACGATCGAGTTCGATCGAAACAAATCCCCGTTTCACGTCACCGCAAAGCATGCAGAGAAAAATGTGTTCGCACTTTTTAAACACAAATTACAAGCGTATCGAGCGTAATCATGTCTGAGATCTAGCGTCAGAATTTTCACCGTTCCGAATCGTTCGTTTCGATTGATTCAAAAGGTTGTAACGTGTCGTCCGAGCAAAAGGAGGAACGCGTCGACTCGCTTTCTCAACGTGCACGCGTCCATCAGCCGTCGATTCCTTAATACGTATCGCGATCAAGATACGTCTGGGCTCTGTGTCGAGATGCGAGATCGATTCGCGCACACGTATCGATCCGCGAGAGCAGCTGTGACCGTGATAATCTCAGCTTTATTCGTTGCTCACCCGTCCCAGACCAGTCGACGACCATTCAAAGGGTTCGCCTTTATATTTATTTGGAATGTCCGATGACCAAACTCGTTCTTGTACCTCCCCGCCGCTATTATACTTTTAGCAGCTGTTTCGTTGATCGATCTTCTCCTCTTTCTAAAAGAGCCAACGTCGAGGGTAAGAAGTGATTGCAGTTTTTTAAGAGGCCACGTGCTTCCGATTGAATTATTATAGACGACTCATGCTTGAATCTCGAGGAATTATTTTATTCGATCTGAATCCGATTCGAATGAGCGTTCGGAGTCGCTGCAGGACGAAGCATCCTCGTAGCGTGCTTAATTGGCTCGTAATTAATAATGCAATGTTGCGTGCAGCGGGCAGGAACCGCACGATCCTCCTCCTGCATGCAGAATCAGCGTACACGGCTCGTTAAGGCATCGTTTACACACAGGACTCGGGCCTTGGAAACTGATTAAAATGTTACCGGCCCATGTCTCCTGCGATTCGATGCCTCCCGTTTGTTCTCCTTTAAATATGCGTGTACACACGCTTGAAACGTGGCCCCTTTCGAGGTGTTTCATTTACGATACCGAACTCGATTCCAACGCATTGATATTCTCAGAGGATTCCTGGATGCTGGTCAACGAATCCAAAGTGTCTTAACAGCGAAACTATTTCACCTCGTACTCGTAGTCACTGTAAACAGCTTGGAAAATCTGTTCACGTGACGAGCATTATAACGAACGATTTCTACCGATCTTGCAAATCTGCTCGATTAAGCGAGACGACGTGGAACCCGGAATCGTCGAACAATAAATTAACAGAGGCCCACGCGGAATCGAGGGGAATGAAGACTGTCATACTTCACTGGAAATATAAGAAAAGATTGGCGAAGATTAATGGAAGCATAACGATCGCAATGCGCCACATCGCCAACAGGAATTATTGCCACGTTTAACCCTAACGAGATTGACGCGGCTCGAGTGATTAATCTCGGGATCGTCGTCGAATTTCCGCGAATTCTATGATTAATTTCATTTACTAGCTCCGGCGCGCATCGGTTTACGCGTCACGACCGACACACCCCCTTAACGAGGTGTCCGCGTAACCAATTTCGACGGGGTCTCTCATAACACGCGATTCTCACCGATGAAATATCAAGCGTCGTTATATTTCATTGTCTGCTACTATTTATGCGATGCCGCGGTTATTAAGGCCATCAGCCGGCCGTACGAACCTTGTCCACTGCCAAAAATACGAATTGCATATTTAACTGGGTCGTAACTGGGTCATAGAGTGGGGGATTACGCGACGTTATATTAGCTTTTACACAGAAAGTGTAATCAAAGATGTGTGAACGTTGGTCGGTACATTCTCTCAAGCCTTTCAATTTGAGGAATCGCGACTTTATACTCAGATGTTTCTTTTTTCCGTGAAAATGTATGGTTGAAATCCTAGAGGAAAGATGTGAGTGAGTGTGGTTTACAGAAGGAAACCACTTGAAACCTAGCTACTACTCTGCTCACTGAAAACATCTTCCAGAAGCATCCACTTTTAGTTCCTTCTAAACATCCTAATGCTACTTAAACACAATGAGTATGAAGCATTGGGACGTGAATAGTACTTTCCTTCGTTTTAAGAAAAAGGGAATTTCATACAAAAATAAAAATGCCTTTTTATACGATTTGAGCAAACGATTTATTGTCTTCCATTTTACATTACATGTTACATTCAATTTCATATCACAGTTCAGATCACATTTTACATTTCATGTTCCACTTCGCGTTGAATCAGCAGGTAAACGTTGCAATTTGAGTGCACCCAATTGTCACGGAAGTCGAAGTCGGTCGCAGATTAGACACGTGGCTAACGAGTCGACGATTTGACCGTTGCGTCTATGTAATTGCGACGGTCATTAACGATGCGGGTGGTTGAACGACGTTAAACGGTCTCTGTTCTATGTTTACAGGCGTGCGCCCCGAGATACATCTGGTTCTCAGTGTCCCAGCCGAAGTCCGATCCGGTTGGCAATCGAAGGGAACCCGTAGGCACCTGCTGGGTGGCCACCAACAACTTCGACGATTCGCAGGAGTTTTCACCTTGTCGAACTAGTAAGTGTTTTCCTTATTTCTGTTGACGTTAAGAATAGCTTGATAAGGATCAACTTTTTATCAAAATTTATTCAGTAATTCTGTAACCTGGAGAATGTATCTACCACTAAATAATTCTTTAATTAATCTCGTTATTCGAATTAAAAGTAATTTACACGAGATCTTTGTTAGTTCGCGATACGTAAAAAGACCTCTGGTTAGTTCAGAAGTATTAAAAATACAGAAGCTGAAAACAATTTAAACTATGGTGACCCTCGGTAATCATAAACAGTATCTCGAGCTGAAGAGGTCTCTTTCAAGGAGTGGCTTCGAGTGCAGAGTTTCGTTTCTCTAAGTGGTAAATTGTCCTTTGAAGATTTTTAAGGGAACGTCCCCGACCAAAAGCAAGGACCTGCCGCGACATATGGCCGCGCCTTTTAAATATGCTCGCCATAAATACGACCGGTAACAGGATATTTCCTGTGCTCCGTGCAACCGTGTTTTAATGACAAAATACGTATCGATTTCCTCGGTGAACCGGCTCCTTGTTTTACGAACCTCGCTTCTTTTCATCTTTCCTATACAATCTCTTCTCGGTGGTATTACCAAATACGAATTGAACGAAGATAATTATACACGATCTACGGCATCTGTTACACTTTGTTTTATAAATAATAATAACAAATATGTGGTGAAAAACATTTGGAAAAGTGACATTGGACAAGTAAAGATACTTGCATACCATGGCACAAAGTAGCTTATCGAGAACATAAAAAGAGACTTCGGTAGCACTCTTAGGATTAGAAATATACGTTCTTCTGTTTCTAGAGATAATGCTCGTGTACCAGAGTTCGAAGATAAGTCTCTCCGGAATTTGGTGCGTTTTTCTGTTATCTTTCTTTTATCACTGGTCGAGCGGACCCAGTGCAGATCTCGCGAGTTATTTATGTGTCACGGTATTGCTTTTACATTACATATATCTTGACCTCGGATGTTTTAATAGTCTTTGGTCGTCTCTCTTGTCCCCAGCGCAACTTATATGTACACGAATAATATTGAAACTGTCAGTAAATAATCGCATCATAAAATTCATAAAAGCTCGGAATCTAAACCAATGCAGAGTCAACTGTAGTCGTCTCCGTGTCTCAATTCATTTTGACGTTTCCTGAAACGCCTTCAACAGCGGGGAAACATCGTGTCCCTTCTCGATGCGACTCGAGAAAGGAAACGGAAGGAGCAATTTGTAGAGTTCTTTCACGAACGGCTTTCTCATAGGGACACGAATATACCATCGTCGGCCGTATTTAGCTTGCCATTTTTTTCGCGAAGTCGTGCGACCCGAGAGAAGTCTTGTATACGCGTTTAACACGCCGCGAACTGAAACGTTTCCTGTCGCGTTCCAGATTTCTTGCTATTTCTAAATGAATTTAGCAGGCGAAGCGAGCGAGTGAGAAACATGACTCACGCTTTCGATTCGATCTCACGTTCAAAGATTGTTTGTTTCATTCATATCAATGATGGTCTCGACGCGTCGATTCGCATAATCAGCAGAAACAAAATAATACGTTATATGTTTCGACGAAACATTTATGAAATCGTGAAGAGAAGAATGTAAAATGGTAGAATTTATTCCTCTGGATCACTGGAAGGACTTAAGAAAAACTGATAAGATATCGTTTCTCGTTGGTAAACCGGATAAAAGTCAACCAGGAAACCGTAATATCCCCGCGGAAGTGCGAGATATCGCAGACCTGTGAGCTCATCGTCGAGAAATTCCGCGGCGGGAGCGGGCAATTAAACAATTTGTAGCGTCGATCGAGCGAACGAACGGGCGAACGTTTGCTGCCGCGAATCCCGAGAATCGTGCGCCGGGTTCTTAACTACCCGAAGCTAGATCTCGCTTATGAAGCGCTATCTCGCCTCGCTCATTGTTGCCTTCTTTGGACGCGAATCCTCGTGTTCGTTTCACCTCGTGCAACCGGCTTCCATTTGTCGCTTACGACGTCGCCCGAGGTATAATTCTCTTTGGAACAGTTACTTTTGCAGCTGCGTATGCTCTCGTAGCCGATCCATTAACAGTCCCGTCATTCGCTAACGTAAATTACGTCAAGCGGGTATTAGAAGGAGAAGCTGTTTCAGATTTTACTCTATGTATTCCTCTCCATTTTTACTTCATGTATTCTTTTCATTCTTATTCTTAACAGAACTACTGAGTAATGACGTATACGTACTTCTTAAAATTAATAAGTCATTTAGGAAGAGACAGCAATTCTTACGTTTTTATGAGTAAAAATTGAATAATAAACTAATAATGATAATAATAATAATTTAATAACAATAATTATCAAAATACGCTTTTAATCTACGTTTCGTGGGGGTCCGAATGATTCACCTCGTAGGTGTACTGTACAAAATTTTGCATCAAAAAGACAAAATAAATAGGTTTGGCGTATGAGATAGACGTCTGTAAACGACTACGAATACGCAATTCTTATTTCCGTACGTTTGCTAGTTTTAAAGAGCCGTAACAGCTGTATCGGTAGTGAAATGCGTAAACGTTGACATTGAATGTTTGACAAGTGTAAATGAATGAAGTAATGCGTTTTATTTAACGCGGTTATGAAACTACATTATACGGGACGTGCATTGGCTTGAACTGGATCGACTGGTCGACTAATGGTCTTGCGAAGTGTTAACCGTGTGGTAAGGACGCCCGATACTAAAAAGAGCTTTTAGACCCACGATAGAAATCTTGGGTGAACACAGACAACGTTCATGATTCACGCTATGCATTTTCGTTGCGTTCACGGTTCACTCTGCAATTTTCAACATTCCCAAGATTGTAAAAAATTTATCTTTCTTTTTTAATCCTCGTCCGAAACGATTCTGTACTTCGTTCCTAAATTAATTAATACTAGATTGCCGGAACGAGTCAATTTGACTCATCGTTCAAGACTTGAAGCTCAAGTATCGTGCAAAAAATGGAAGTAAGAGCTTCTGCGGTAAATGTAATAAAAAAAAATCTGTGGAAAATTTATTTTAAAAACAGAATATATATGTAAAAATTGTTTTGAACGAAGTTTCTTTAAAATAAATTTTAGCAACAAGAAACATCTGGCAATCTATTGTTAAAGTACTCGCATCTACCGTAGACTGATCTGACGATATCGATAAAAAGAGATTTAGGATTAATAAACGAGAGTAGATGGGCACGTTCGTCGAGTCGAAGAGACGAGGGTTTCCTCGTTGGCTCGTCACATGATATCGTCGCCACTTACTTACGACTCGTTAAACAGTGAAACGTCACATCCAAGGAACACGAGCAGTGGCAGTGGCATCAACGGTCCAGTGAAAGTGGCAATGAATCGCCGCTGGTAACTGCGTCGAGAGAAGCCGTAGTTGCGAACGGTCGTCGTCGTTGTCGTCGAACCCGAGCAAAGAAGTCGGGAGAAAGAGAAGGAAAAAAAAGCAAATGAAGAAATCGTAATTAGAAGACGCCTTACCACTGACTCGGCGCTAGTTCTAACGAGCCCAATTAGCACTAGATCTTGCTCGAATTACGATGGTGTTGCCGATCTCGAACGCCTACGCATTTCTTGCCTGCCGAATTCATAAAATAAATGCTTCGACGTATGAAATATGAAAAGTGAAAACGTTATTCTGTGACGTATAGTAAAAGGGATTTCTATTCGAGAGATAAATAAAGATCACGTTCAATCCGTCCCCGCGGGCGAAGTATTAGGGTCAAGAATGTCGTTGACAAGATCTCGAATTCCGCGTGGCAATAAGAACGATCCGCTCTTATTGCGATTTTATTGCGGCTCGCGCTCTTCAAATTGTTGCTCCTCGGAAATGAGCTTGGACGGCGGCGGCGTGGCTTCGTCTGTTTCACGCCGATTTTCTTCTTGCTCGGTTCTCGACGACGGTGTAATCTCGCTGCTTTCACGCTGCGTCGTCTCCCGACTCCCGTGACAACAGATTCGTCGCCGATCAACACATCTAACAATCCGATCATACGTTACTCTTTATTTCTTTGATTTACTTCGTGGAGAATCGTACATGACGTCTCGGGCTATAATAATTAACAATCCGCGTTTACTCGTTTATATGTAATGCAAGTGGAGATATTTCGTTTATCGATGAAGTTCATGACGACCTTCGATCGGTTTTAATTTGTAAAGTGGCTCGATGGCGGATACTTAATCGCGTGTCGACGCACTTACACATTTACGCGGAATCAGAATTACAGTAGCTCCATTCATTCCGTGCGACTCGATTAAGCGTCGTGTGCTCGTATAATGTGTGAACACTTTCACCGTTCTAATTCAATTCTCGAAACGCGTATTATCCTATCCAAATAAAACAATTTCCTTTATATTCGAACAGTGACTCACTGTACTTAACTGTTTCTTTGTTTATTCGCTCGTTTAATAGTGTTCCATGTGACTAGACTGTATTCTCAAAATTATACAACGTCGGAATTAAGTTTCTATATAAAAGACGGATGTAATTGTTTCTGACGGAGCTTGGAAGCACCGTTTGCTTTCGCAGCACTTTCTCCGTAAAAACATTTCCGTGGCAGTCGTCCTGGGTCTAAGCTCGAGAGCACTCTCTCACTGACGAGAATAGCTCCCTCGCGAAGCATCGAGACACGAACAATTATAAATAGACCGGCGACGATATCATCTAATCGAACTTGTCCTTTGTTACCTCGCGTATCACAGCTACGTTAGTCTTTTTTTTACAAGAAATAGGAGACTCATTTTAGAGCTCCATTTTTCGATGTGTTAGATTTTCACTTACTATAATTAAGGTTGTACGAACCCTAAAAACAATGACGAAGCATTGAAATTTTGAATAATTGCTTGCAATACCCAAAACAAATCGTCGCTATATTCCCCGAGGAAACGAATCTATGCCGACGGCTACTGGTTATAATGTTTGATACGCCGTACGTGTCTGTTCTCTGTGTATACTGGCATTTATTCTACGCGTACCGGCTCTATAATGGGATCGAAGAGTGACGAAGTTTAAGGAGCATGCGATCCCGGCACGGATCTTATTCGCATGCACGCGAAGAATCGGCGGCGCCGATCGGTGCTACGGCTCGGCGGCGTCGTCGCCTAGCGTTTTTTCTCCCGCGCTCGACACGGCTGGATCGCTCGTCGACGACCGATTGATGTAATTGCGTGACTGGCAGCTCGTCTAAAGTGACCGACAGGCTCCCCGGCTCCCTGCTTCTGTCCGTACGCATATAGGGTGTCACTGAATCGTCGCGAGTTCAGATTTAAATAACAGACAAAATGAATTATATCGTAAATACAGAGAAATCAATCATGAAACTTCATTTTAAGTACACGTGAAATTCGTACGTCAAGCGCATGTGTGATTAATTCTGTGTACACAAGATCGTAGCTGACATAGTGCGACTCAATCATGTTTCATACAGAATATGGCACTGCTTCCTTTTACATTTAAACACGAGATTAGTTAAAAAATATTGAGACTGAAACTTCATAAAAGAGAATCTATTCATACAATTTCTTGTTTTCATTATTCTACTAATCTGACGACACCCTGTACGTGTATACACGCTCCTGGATCCCACCGGATATTCTCCCATATACACGCATCGTTTTCTTACTGGTAGCCTTTACGTCGGGTCATAAGCTCGTTACGTCGGTCAGAGCGGTGACGGTCGATTCGACGCGTGAAACTTCGGCCTAAAACCTTGAACATGTCTCGTTAATAATTATCTGGATCTCATTAAGAATTATTTCTGTATCTACTGTAATTAATTGCTTCTGATATAATTGCGGGGTCACGCGTAGTAAGAAGACGAAGTAGAAGTTCATTGACTCGCGGTTAATCGCTTTGACAGCAAGAAAAAATAACGTTCGATTCATGAAACGAAGCTGTAATAAATGGTGGATAAAAATGATAGAGAATAAATCATTAATTAATACGGACTCACTCTACGCGACTTTGTAAACGCGTTATCACATAAATGAAATTCATGTTCCTTTTGTACGAAGAAAATTGTAAGAGTTTATATTCATACGAAATTATTTGGAAGAGGACGAACACATCGTATTTGCCAAGTGGATTTCTGCATTCTGATCGTGCATCGGTGTATAACGTTGGACATAAAAGAACTTCCGTACGGGTCAGGACTACCTGATAGAATTGCTTGCACGTGAAACGAAATCAAAACCGTCGGCTTTCTCGCAGTGCGCCGTCTTTCGCTACTTGCGTTTTCCTCTGCCATTTCCAAGTGCTGGCAGGAAGTGTAGCTCTTCCAGTGAGACAGGAAGGATGCAACTTCTCACGACGACTATTCAATGTGTTTTCTGTCAGTTCGGATTTCGACTAGAGTTTTTCTTTCTAGAGAAGCAAACATACAAAAATTTAGACTTCTGAAAGACGAATCCCTGAAGCAAGAATTGAGAATTAAATAGATCAGAGGTTTTATTATCTGTCTCATCTGGTGGAATATTGAAACGAAGATTGATAGGATCACTTTCAAACCGTTTGAAACATGGAAAACTACTCTTTCACTGAAATTGCTTGGTTGTTAAACTGTAACTCTTTCCAAATCTAATAATCTTATTAGGCGTCGAAAATAGACCACTCGATGTAATTGGCTTGGCTTCGTTTCCTCTTAATTGGATAATAAATTTTACGCCTTCGATCACGAGTCTACGTGCAGTAATAGATTATCGATCAGGTTTTTTTTTTCTAAAGTCTTATCTGCCTATAGCAGATAGGTATGCATAAATTGCGAGAACTCCTGAATGCGATTTCGTAGAAAGACTCTGATTAAACGTAACACACATCGACACCTCTACTACGTTAATCCTCTACGTGAATGATCAAATAGAATAGAGTCTCGTGATTCTTTTACAAAGAAATGTATCGCGTGTCGCGGCGACGTATGTGTGACACTTTGCGTAATTAGATCTACGATAAGCCTTCGGCTTAAACTCTGTTGTAAAGTATAAGCATCGTAAGTTTTCCAGCTTCTTTCCGCGGGCTGTCTTCCAGTGAATTATCACGAAAGAAACGCGGATATTCGCGGGATTGTGAAGGGGCATTCCCCGGCGGAAAGAACGAATTAGCAGAAGAAAACGTCTGTAATAACCGCTCCCTTTTTACCGACGACACGTAATTGCAGCAACGTGAAATAGTGCATCGGCGAATAAAACGGTCCGTCGCGGCGGCCCGTGTACGCGTACCTTCGGACTGGTTCACGAAACGAGGTGAAAAACGGGAAATCGTAGGAAACCTTCGGGAGTGGAAGATCGCGATCGTGCACACGGAACACGGACAGGAACAGGGATCGGAGTCGTAGAAATTGATAACCGTGAAAAAGTCGCTCGTATCGGATGAATTATGTATTTAGAGGAAACAATGGGAGTACAATGGTGACGTGCTCTGCTTTCTGGATCGGTTGCTAGCCACGATCCTCTGACTGTGAATTAATTCGCTTTTAAACACGAGCCAAGCTTCCACGATTGAAATACTAGATTAATAATTATGTAAATAAAAGAAAATTTTGTAATATACGTTTTTAAAACCGACTAAAAATTATAAAGTAATTATAGAATACTTGTGAGGTTTAAAACGAAAAACGCGGAGCGCGCTATTCATGCATCAATTAATCTACGTTTTTCGTTCTAAATCTTACAAGTGTTTTGTAATTATTTTCTGCTTTTTAGTATTGTATTGTCATTCAGTTCTGAGCTATGTTTAAAGTTTCAAGTTTCTAGCAGTTACTTTAAAATCAATTGCAGAATTTGCAGACAAGAAAGTGAGCTAATAAAAACGTAGGAAAAATCGAATAATGGTAACACGAAATATCGAAAGGAAAGATAAATTTGAATACATTTTTCTAAATAACATCATAAACGTAATACTAGGAACACAGACCTGTGAACAATCAAATTCACATCGATAAAATCGATTGACCCGAGTCAACGCCAATTGAACGTGAAATTGGCAGTCGAATTTTAATCGGATTCACCTCGAGTGAGGAAGGTCGTGTAGAATTCCTGGAAGCAGGGGATAGTCTGATCGATCGATCGATCGCCGGATCCGAGAGAAAACGGGCGTCACGGTTCGAGATCGATCCGGGATCAATGATGCGTGCAGCCACGCAGTATTCCGTAGACGTGCGGGAGTGCGTGGCGTCAGCCCTTTAAAGCGACGCGACGTTTAACTCGACTTTCTAATCGATGCTTCGAAACGTAACCTCGTGTCAGGTACGAGACGTCTGGCAAATGCACGCGCGCAAGATCTTCCACCTCTCCCGACATGAACGCGACTCCCTTTTAAACGACTGTTAACGAATTTGGAGAAAGGATGTACGAGAACAAATCTGTTTACGATAAATCACTTAAGCTTCGTACGGCAACGTCTTAGAAAGATCGCGTCACAGCACGATACAGTTTATTTCGTTCGTGATTTACGAGGATCGTGTAATAAAGTCATTAGGTTGATTTAAGAAAGGACGTGAGTCAACGAACAGGTTGAACGGTCTCGAGGCGACCTTTTATTTGTCGAGCGCAATTACGGTTGGAATCGTTTCGAAGGGTCGATACGTACGTGGCCAATTATTAGTGGGGTACTCGGTACGTGGGCAAGGGTCCGTTCAAACGAAACGACCGAGATATGACGTCTCTACTCGGAGTACCGAAGGACGGCGCTATATAATTGTGTGCTTCCGTTTCAGGGTACTGGGGATACCATAGACAGGGTTCCTGTCAAGCCGGCTTGGGCGCTGCTATCTCTAAGGTAGGACCAAAAAAATAGATCATAGTTATATTTAATCCGATCGAAAGATCAATTTATTCTGCCCTTTCGAAGAAACTAATAGATCTCTTTCACCTGTGAAACGAACGAACAGAACATCGGATTTCCGTAATGGGAAAATCGAAAAATGTCAGCGGGGTTCTGTCGGGGTTGTCACCCCGCAGTTTCGTAAATCACAAACAAACGAGAACGAAGAGAACCGGGGATGGAGTTAAAATTCAAGCTTGGGAACTATTGAAGTCAACGAGTGAGTCCAAATACGAGATTTCCCTGGCCACTCTCTCTCTACGTCTGACTGTTTAAGTCGCTGGCGTAAACACAGAGAGATATAAATACGGTAACCCCACGTGTCCTGCCACGTCCTGAAAGAGTTAAGAGGCGACACGAGGGGTCGGCGAAACCCGAATATGGCCAGGAATGTGAATTCCAGCCTTACGCACCTCCCGGCCATTCGTATTCGTGGCGAGGCCCGGCGCTCTTCCTATATAATACGATTGTCTCGTCGAAAGCTCGATTTTCTGGCCGCGGTCGGCAGATCCCGAGGACCGATCGGCCCTCGTAGGCGTCGACCCGTGGCCCTTCTCTTCTTTTTAACCGATCACCGGACTCGTGCGCGCAACACGTTGCACCTGCCTCGATACCTTCTCCGTGGCCCGGTGTCGCGATGCGTATCGCCTCTGGGGCTATAGGTACGAATTCGAAATTGGTGGGTACCGTGTCAGCGGTTTATCTCTCGAGTCCCGGGGTGCGGGACAATGCCTACGTACGTGAAACGTATGAAGAATGTTTTTCCTCGGCGGACGAGTTCATCTCTCGCGGTCGAGAAAAATATTTAAGGGACTCACCGATGGCCATCGACGATGCCGACGACCCGAAACTCTGCTTCAACGGAGAGATCGTGCGTGCACGATCTGACCACGATCGGCCGTTCCCGTTTCGTTTCTAATCTCGATCTCGTGCTTTCTCCTTCCGGGACCTCCTGACCCAAAGACCAATCTGATCTCGGGAGAAGAAAGGCAGGATTTCCGGTTGGTTCCGATCCGAGGGAGCGGCGCGTTATCGGTGGAACGGGACAGTTTCGATTACCGGGCTGAGAAATAGTGGGACAATTTCGCGGCCACTCAGTTATCTCTCCGCGGATGTATAATTCAGAATTGTCCGGCTGTATGGCAGTATGTTTAATGCATGTCGCGGTCCGTGGTCTAACTTCGACTCGCATTCAATGTTAATACCCCACCTCCGCGGTACGAGCGGTCAATCGTGTCTTTTACCCACGAGCCCGGGATCGTGGAGCGACGCTGCCGCAATGATTTTAGGCAAATTCGATTCCCCCTCCTCGCTCCGTCTTTATTCGCCGATTTTAGAATCGTACAAACGGCTGTGTTTAGTAAGTATTTATCACGTCGCATTGTCCATAGGAATGTTACACTTGAAGAACTACATTGAATTGAACGAAGAACTACGTTCGATTGACTCGAAGACACTCGGATATTCTTTTCGTCAACTGTTTTCGTGTCGACGTCCGACGCGCTCTAGGAGAATCCCCGCGTGCACTAAATCTCGAGACCGGTGATTTAGAAGGCTCCTCGACGCCGTTCAGTATGCAATCGAACATCGATCTCCGCGTTAAGCCGCCGCTCCTGGTATATCTACCTTTGTCGTGGCTGGTTCCGCGCGTTATCCCCCGATCTACAGAGGATCCAGTCGAGATCGATCGATACCCGGTCGATATCGATCTAGACGATTTCGAACGCGATCGTCGATCCTCCCATTTGACGAACGAACCCGCGTACCCCCTTTTACTCAGATGAAAATAACTCTGGGGAGGTCCTCTCGCGAAATCTTTTGACCGAGGGAATCATTTTAACTCCATAAAGATTTATTGCGAGTTCCTTTGACGTGACTCACTGTCACTCGGGTACTTGTATTACTAAAAAGAGATTCAGAGGCATTTTGTAAAAGATTTGATCGAGGATAGAACTCGTATGATCGATTCATTATGTGCGAGCTTTCATATCGAGCTGAACTATCTCATGACACGAAAAGCTCGTAGGGCAACCCTATCGACCGTTGAAGCGTCGGGTAGGATTTTTTCAGAAGTCGCCGGACGACTCATTGGCCGGGCACATGAATACGCGGAAACGGTGGCATAAATTTCAACATGCTCCCATACATATTTGAGCGACCGGTTATATTTCAATCTCGGATGGGCCTTCTTACCCCGTGGCGGCCCTCGCGATCGGCGCCGCTCCGGGATCCAGCTCGTGCCGGTCGTGTTTCGTGTGTAGACCGCGTTCGCCATTGTCTCGATTGCAAATTTTTCGCGTGTAGAAGCATCCGAGCCAGCGCTGCTCCGTAGGGGGTACATCGTGTCGGTCCCCCTTTTGCCTTCGCTCTGCGACGTCTCCCCACGATCGCCGTCCTCGTCGTCGGTCCGCTTCTGTTGTCCCGGCCGTGTCGTACGAGTTCCCTCGACAAATGCACGTATTTGCTTGGCTACCGGTTCGCTAATATCTCCGCTGTAAAACCAGCGCAACGGGCTTGCAAATTTTCGTCGGCCAGTCGATCGAATTTTTACGATAGTTTCCTGAACGAGATCAGAATTATTTCTAATTGCGGGCGAAACAATTGGCGTCGTGATTCTTCGATTATTATAACAAAATCCTATTTCGACAATTGCTCTTATAATTACATCGTCATTTGTTATAGTAAATTTCTATTGAATGATGAAAAAAGCGAGTTTTATTGAAGTTCAAATTAATTGTTCTTACTACGTTAGTTTATTGCGCATTTATACAAAAATATAGACAATGCATTTGCACTCTGTCGAAAGTAGGTACAGTCAAAGAAAGCAGGTGAACAACGTAAGAAATTATTTCATTTCTCAAAATTGATATCCCAAATGATTACATTTGCATAAAAAACGACGGTATGGATGTCTTGGTTTGGTCGTAGCTAATTGTAAGATTTAACGTGGAATCCTGGGGCATACGAAAAGAACCGCTCGACTCGGTTACGTCGGTGCAGAACGCGCGAGAGCGCATGCAACCTCTACCTACGTAGTGGCGCCAGCTCTCGATGCTCCGCACTTCGGGGTCCGCTTTTATTTATCGTCGCACAGAAACGTTATTATTTGTGAGCCAGTTTCCGAGTCGATTCGCACGCTACGCGAACAATGGACCCTCCTCGTCGGGCCGACGATGTCAAACGTGCCACCGAGTCACGTGTGTGCACGCCCCGTGCGCCGCGATGCGCTCTTCGCCGCGCGGCGCGGGTGCAACAACCGTTCTCGCTCTCTCTCCGCCAACCTCGGAAATCCCATCTATTATTATTATTAGACTCGCCAAGCTCCACAACTAAAATGTTGTGCAACAGTAAAACGAAAAATTAATTTTAACAAAAAGTTTATTTGATCATTTGAAGAATAGGAGTGAGACGAGAATTAGGATAATTAGTAGAATGCATAATTGGCAGAGAACATAATACACGCTCGGACAAAAGATGAAAAGAAAGGACGTCGTAAATATCCGTGTTTTGTTCTCGTGTAATTACTGCGACGTTTAATGTGAGCGCGCTGAGTCAGTGGCATAAACTCTATAAACTAGGAGAATTACACTGCAGGCCTATCGTATGTAAGAGTGGTCGCAAGTATCGTTCCACGAGTCCTAATGGAGCAAAGATCACTTATCAGAGCGCAATGAAAATGCATTCCTATTATTCTTCCTAGGCTTTACTTACATTTCTCGTGTATTCGCGCTACATACCCCCGTCGTATTTTACGCGTTTTATCATGGATGCTTTACCGATTTTAATTTTATACACAGTTATCGTAATTGAACTTCGAGGTTCATCGTCGTGTGTAATTCAGACTTGTTATTTGGCGATATAAAACGATTTGCTGCGGCAGCGTGAAACTCTATTTATCCGAGACGCTCTCTTATACGAAGATTTTGAAACGTTGTTAACTTCTATGAAATACCGAGGCCTCTCGAGATGGCTCGGACAAAGAACAGAGGCAAGGTTTCTCCGCGCGGAACGAGAGAAGAGGATATCTTTAATGGGACGAGGGTGAAGCGCGAATATGTGACGGCGCGGCGGCACCGCGCGCGGATTCCCCGGTTTCGTTCCGGCGACGCGGCGTGTCTAGTTTCGTTTTACTCTGCTTATCATGAGAAATGGCGGCCGTTTATAAAACAATGCAACCGCCTAGGAGAGGAGGACGAGGAGCGGCGCGTAGGTGGCCTCCTCGGAACGCTGGCCGACGGTGAACACGGAACACGGTGACAGAACGAAATGTCCGTGCCTTAAATGGCCACCTGAGACTACCCTGTCGTTCCTACTATTCCTGCCGGCTGCCGTCGTCGTGCCGTGTCGCGAACGTGCCCCTTTCCTTACCTTCCGCTCTCTCCTCCTCCTCCTCTCTCGCTCTCTCTCGAAGCCGTGCCGCGTGTGTTACGCGCTTCGTACGACGCGTCCACGTAACGGCCTTTCCGCCTCACGTTTCCAAACCGTGAATCAATTATTTAATTTCGTTCCTCGATCTCACGGAACGTACCCTGTACCGAAATTGACCCTTTGCACTCGTCTGTCACGTTAGAAACGAAATTTCCGAAGAAATCGAGTGTAAACGGTCAGAACAATTGTTCTTCGATCCTCGGTCGGTTTATTCGAATTGCATTTCGTATAACGACTTATTAAAAAAATCCTTTAATAATCTGCATTAAATCTGTAAAAATTCATGTAACGAATACTTGCATACTCTGCAGTATTCAATTGCATTAACTCGAATGCAGATCCGTGCGTTAAATCGTGGCCGACAACTGTTCTCGCGCATTCAACGAGCAATCGTATAACTTTCCCCTTCGTTCGCATCTCCGCCTAATCTCCGCCACGGTATTTCCGTATTTCTCGTTCCCCTCGTTGGATTCTATCGCGAAGCAATGCGTTCTATGCGACGACGTGCTCGCGCGTGGGCGTCGGATCGCACGCGTAGGTGCATCGCGAGAACGTACGTCGACATTGTACCGCGATTAACACTTTGATCCCGGCGATATTTAAGCGGAATCTCGACACAGACCTTCCCACGAAGGTCATCCTTACTATCTACGAAACCTCGCTGGAAACGAACTCGACGAGTCCAATTCCTACGATTCGAATTGTTTGAATCCGTTGGATCAATGAGATTGTCCCGAGGCTATTCGATGCAATTGTAAATTCTATTCAAGTCATTAATATTTAAGGGGCTGTATCCGTGTCCGCTAAAAATTTAGGTGATCTTTGGGAATTTTTTTAAAAAAGTATCCCATCGAATCTTGTTAAACTTTAAGGACGTATTTGCTTGTGAATGAACTATGTAAAATAATTTTTTCGTACAAAAATAATGAAACGCGAGCGACTTATAGCGCTATCCCCCGAGACGTCAAAAAAGAAAGTTGATTTCATTCATGATGTTATCGTGGCTCGTGGATTCAGCTTCCTGCGATCGCTCACGTGCCAGTCTAACGTTGATTAATATGTATGCGAGATACGGTCTTTATTACTGTTGCATCGCCGTTAGATAAGGCTGCATGAGTCTTACCGTTACACCGCGTTAAACGCGCATTTGCGTGCACGCGAGTGTTCGAACGTTCTGTTAATGATTCTGGCTTCATTGTCAGCCGCAGATTGGATAATGGGACATTGAATTTTAATACAGTATTCGTTCGTCGTGACGATCCTCGCTTCGACAGCTTCCTTAGACTCGCTTCTTTAGCTCGTTTCTCTTCTTAGGAAGTGGCAGAATTTTATTCAGCTAAACCGAGATATTAAATATATGTTTTTCAATAATAGAGTCAATAGCGAGGTAAATCTATGCAGATATTTCTTATCGTGCAGCTCTTTTAAATCTATCGTACGACCCTTTCTCAGAGACCGTAGCTCGATTCGTTTACTGCATGTGCGAGCTTACGAATTGAATTTTTCTCACGCGTCTCGCCACGGCCAAGTGGTATAAGACCGTGCGTGTCAGACGAGTAAAAGTACCCGGAAAGTTTCCCTGTGTCGCATCGGCTGGGAACGAGCGATACGCAGGTTCGGCCACTATACGGTGGTATGTCGACGATCTCGAGTGGCACTCGAGCGACCGATGCAACGACGGATCGAGCGTACGACGGAGAATCAGGGAAGTGTGCGAACGCGAACGTGCTTTATTGATCATCGAACGAGATTGTGACACGTTCTTGATTCACGTTACACGCTTTTAATCTGGCATGCCTCGTACGATGAATAAGCTAGTGTAACGAATGGTTGCAGGAAGCCACGTTAATATGCAGGCTTGCGTAATGGGTTACGCATCGCGTTCATAAAGATGTTGAGCTACATCTAAAAATTACTTTTTAATGATCGTATTTGCGATTTGCATGTAAGTGGCTTTTAATGAATGCGTATTATAAGTGATTGTGCGCGCTGCTTCCGGTATTGAAAGTTTTAATTCATTGGTTTGACATCGAAGACGCGCAGTGCATAGAATCGAGATGTTTTAAATAATTTAAAGAAGTAGTAATATTATTTTAGTTCAATTCATAATATTTACGCGAGAAAAGTAATCTCTGTTTGGATTTCATTTTTTTAATTTTATTTGTACAAATAAGCTTACCTTTCACAATAGATTATTATTGGAAATTAATGAGCATCTCCATTTGATAAATTTCATTTAAATATCTACATGAGCGATTCTTTCGTATGACGAATACGTGGAATCAATTTTCTATTTGACGTAAATATTAGAATTATTACAATTCCTTACGAGACGAAACTATTTAGACTATTTAGAGTTTGCACTCCACGTCTCATCGATTTCTATTTCGATTACCTCACCCGTCTCGTTCCAAATATGTTGTTTCTCCGTTCGCCGAAGCGACAACCGCGTTCCTATCATTTTTTCCTGATCGACGGAGAAGCAGTTCGGTACTCGCCGGAGTCGGCGTCGATTCCATAGCGGTCGATCAGCAATTTTTCCGCAAACAGGCGTTTTCCGCAAATAGAAGCGTGTACGATGGATCGCGAAGGCCACGAAACCGATTTAAGATGCGTGACGCGCAACGCGCTGCAGCTAGCATACGTACAACACGTAAATACGCGCGGATTTACACTATCGTTCAAAAGTACGTACACACTTCCTTCCTCGTAAGTAAGTTATGCCGTAAGAGATGCGTGTACGTCCGTTTCATTAAAAATCTTATCAATCGATGACGAGATTTATTAGATCATTAACGTGTTTCGTTAGAACGTGTCATAGGTTTGATATACGATATCTTATCGAATCGACGCGTTTAAATCGTGATTCATTTTTATAAGGGTTTCTAGGTCGGTAAGTTTTGTCACGTCGTTCGTCACCGACACTCGTTGTCACGAGCACATTGAGCATGCAATAAAGAAATGGCAAGTATCCGGGTACTTTTGAGCGGCAGTGTACGTATATACGAGTCGCTGATTTATCGCGTCTCGGGCTCGTGCGCGCGATTCTTTCCGTCCTTTATCTCGCGCCATTATCTTTTAGATTGGAGAAAAATTGAACTTTCGTGGGTGCGTCCGTTTCCTGGTTGCACCGCCCGCGGCTCGGAAAAATCGTGACTCGGCAATCATGCTGGTTGCTGCCTCGATCCCGTGCGTGTCTATCCCAGTTGCCCCACCGTATAATGGTACGTCGATAGCATGCGGCGCGCGTACGATCTACACGTTTTTTCAATTAAAAACAAATTCAGGATCGTATCTTAATCTGGCACTGAACGTAGAGAATAAATGAATGTGCATAGATCTGTATAATTTGTTCGATTGAAAAATCAGCTTCGACGAAGGTGAAATACTCGAATGAAACGGCAGCGGGTCTGATTTATTCCCGGCGTTAATGGTACGCTCGTGGTACAGGTGAAAGAAATCTGAAGAAGCCTGTTAAAGATACACGATTTACCTGATAAAAAAGGGCTGTAGTGAAAGCTCCGAACGTTCAGTTATTTGACGTCGATTAATTTCTCTAACGGCGCACCTTTCTATCCATTTCAGAACGGTGAGAGGCTCTTCATCGGGGCGCCAGGCAGTTGGTACTGGCAAGGTAAGATTCTTTCTCGATACTTATTCAAAGTCTTTGATTTTCTTGAAACGCGACACCCTAGATAGAGTTTTAAATACGTGCATCGATTCGTAATCGAATGCCAAATATTCGAAGCAGCTAGAAATCTGAAATTCTATACTGTCGTGTCATCATCACTGTTTTCGATTCTTAATAGTAGTGCTACATCTTCAATAGCAGTAGGTACTAAATAAATGGTAGATCATATTTAAGTTAATTTATTGTACCATAATAAAACGTGTCTTATTCAAGATCGACCATAATCGTCCAAAAATTGTAAATAGAAATAAGAACCGGACGAGAACTTAAAATTTCCCTAATTCTGATGAGTGAATCAGACTTGTAAGAAATCGATTCGAATCCTCCCTTCACCCACTAATTCAACAGTGAACATTCACTGGATCGAAAAATACAATGATCGAGCTTTGATAACCCCTGGGCAAATGGAACGATACGGCTGCTACAGCTATTCGGGTGGTATCGAAACTTTCAAATGATTTAGAGGCTTTCGTTGAACGATTCCAGGTCAAATGTACTCGATCAGCACCGCTATGAGGTTGAAGTTCGTAGCGTCGATGTTGTTCGCCCCTGAAGCAGAAGGTAACGCGTCGTACTTGAAGGCGTGCCCTAATCTAAAAAGTGTCGACGTGTCTAAAACCATGCCCCCATTCAAACGCCTTTAATCAACAAATTAACAACGTTGCTTGTCACGCTCAGAGACCAAGTATCGCAGTTTCCGAAATGTTCAATTTAAATTCAAAACCCTAAGCGTATTCCTGTGCTTTCTAAAACGCTTTTTACTTCACGTACGAAAACGTCGATGAAGATTGATCGAACGTATCGACGATGACGATCGATTCGAGAGAGGAAAACATCATGCCCGTTCACTCGCTTGGCCCCCTTTAATTAATCCCCAATTACGTACATGTTCATCTGGCTTCCACTCATGCCGATACGTCGCGATTAACTTCTGTGATTAACAGTTTTGATTGAAACGTCGAACCGTCTGAACCAGAGAAGTGTCAGAACTAGACGATCAAGAGGAAAAGATTATTCGACGAACTAATTTGCAATTAACGTATAATCTCGTACGCTTGACAGTTTTTAAGCGACGACGCCTCCACCCCCACAGTGATTAATATCAGATTGACGATTGACGCAGCGTTACTCATTAACTGCTGCCGTCGTAGCAACGTTACAGGTGCAGGCTTCCTCGTAGCTTCGCGTTGTATAGCCGCAGCTACGAAAACATAATAAGAGAAGAGCAGCCTATAATAACTTCTAATTAAATCTGAGAATTACTATCGTCTGCTGCCACTTTAGTTGCCTGGTAGTAGCAATGATTGGAATAATCTCAATGTTGCTGTATTAGATTAATCGTTACGATCCAGCTTTTACGATTTCAAGTGTGCATTGTTACTGCAGTTTTCTGACTACAATCTCATATGAAATAGCTCGTATTTCACTATTCGATACTTTTAAATATGCACTTAAGGTTGTATGAGTCGTAAGATGTCTGCCAAAAGTTTAGGACGTGTAATGAAAAGCTGTGTCCAATATTTGAAGCAATGATCTTTTAGAAAATTGTCGGACTTGCTTTACTCGGTCATAAGGAATTTTTAGCGCATAATTTCTAATATTCTGATACACAGTTTTGGCATTTCTTTTTTGGACTCGTAAAATTTCTAAAATTTTGCACAGTGTTTTATTAATGTAATATCTAATAACTGTTAAAATTTCAACATCTAATAATTGTTAAAATTTCAATGGTTTGTCATTGTTTTTATGTAAAGATTCATGCAACCTTAAGAGAATCTACTTTTTGTTCGTTCGAATCGTCTCCGATACGGAATATCTCGGAGATGTTCAGGTACGAGTTTCGTGGGTCACGTCGTAGTCAGAAAGCAAACGTGTTTGGGAAAGTATGTGTCGGGAATCGCAGGTACAACTTCGTGATTGACTCTATCGATTGGTTTACAGGCCAAGCGTTTTCACAGCCGTTGAACAGTCGTACGAGAGTAATGTTCACGAAGGAAGGGCCGGCCACTGAGGACGATAGCTACATGGGTTACTCTGTCACGACCGGGGATTTTATTGGAAACGGTGACAGCGGCACCGCCGTCGGCGTACCTCGTGGCTCCGATCTCCTCGGCAAGGTATGCTCATGAAATATTAACGCGGTAATTGTAAGGAAAAGAAGATGCCGGGATCGGAAATTAATTCGCCGTTAGAGAAAGTACCTGGGAAACCGTTTCTCTTCGAACGAACGTTTCGACTACTTTTTGTCACGGCGATAATATCGTCGTCAAATAGATTCTTCTGCGACACGTATAATACGTCCAGTGGATCGATTAAAGAAAAAAGTTCGGCTGAACATTTCTTTGCGCCGATATTAGAAATATAAGATGAATGGGAATGGTCAAGAGTAATCGTTTACCGCAGGTCATTCTCTTCACCTCGAACATGACGAATCCTCGCAATATCACCGGGGAACAAATGGGCGCTTATTTCGGTTACGCCGTTGCTTCCGGTGACGTCGACGGCGATGGGTTGGACGATCTCATAGTCGGTGCGCCTATGTACACGGTGCCGGATAACCCGGAAATGACCATCGAAACCGGAAGGGTCTATGTGATCTATCAAGGCAGCGGACCCGAAAAATTCCGCAAAGTCGATTCTAGGTACTTCACGCAACGATTCACACAGTGATTCATATACTATTCTATCATTCCGTCATTCCTCAATGTAAATACAAGCAATTACACACGAGATGAATATAAAGTTTCTGTTTCTGTTTGATACAATCTATTAGGAGCTCGAATTCATTCATAAAAAGTGTGAATGGATCGGAGCTCGTATACGTAGAACGTTGAACTCCAGAGATAATTGTTTATCGTTGTCTCCCAGAGACGGGGAGAGCAACCGAGGACGATTCGGGTTGTCACTAGCCTCGCTCGGGGACATCGACCGTGACGGCTACGGCGACTTCGCGGTGGGTGCTCCTTACGGTGGTCTACGAGGTCGCGGAGCGGTGTACATCTACCACGGTTCGCCGACCGGCGTGCTGGAAAAATATTCCCAAGTGATCGACGCTGAGAATCTCGACGTGCCGATTCGCACTTTCGGATTTTCCGTGGCCGGCGGCCTCGACCTGGACGGAAATCGTTATCCCGATCTGGTGGTTGGCGCCTACGATTCCGGCGCCGCTGTGTTCTTCAGATCTCGGCCGGTGATCAAGATGGACTCCTACGTGTCCTTCGATCAAGAATCGAAACTGATTTCACTGAGCGACCCGAATTGCACGTTGTCAGACGGAAGCAGAGTCACTTGCTTCCCCTTGAAAGCTTGTTTCAAATATACCGGCGAAGGGGTCTTCGCGAGGCATAATTTTAACATTCAATACGTGCTGGACGTGAAGAAGACTAAAAGTCCAAGACTGTTCTTCTTGGAGCTCGAAGGAAGGAACATGATGAATCGCACGATCATCGTGGAGAAGGATCAGCAATTCTGTCGCACGGTTCAGGTCGGTGTAATTATAATACTTCAAACTATCACGTTCGTTCGCGAAGGGTTTACACGAGTTTACGTCGATATAAACTTCTGATACACTTTTCACATTGACAAAATTTATCTCTTACAGGTGTACGTGACGCCTAACATTCGCGACAAGCTGACGTCTCTGGACGCGGAGATGAGAATGAGCCTCGACGAAGAACGGTACGAGGACAACCGAGCGCGAGACCCGAAGATCGGGCTTAGACCCGTTCTCGGCTCGACGACGTCCAGGAAGGACTCTCTGTCCATCAGAAAGAACTGCGGCCCCGACAACGTGTGCATTCCGGATCTTCAAATGAGCGTGACATCGAACGTGCACAAGTACCTGCTGGGCTCCGGCGAACGTCTCAAGCTAGACGTTCTAGTGGAGAACAGGGGCGAGGACGCTTTCGAGTCGACATACAACTTGCAACTACCAGCCGGTATCGATTACATCAAAGTGGAGAAGATCGAGGTGATGGGTGTGCCTGTTCAATGTTCGGCGCCGAAACAGTCGAACAACAACACCCTTCGCTGCGACATCGGCAATCCGTTGCAAAAGAACGGAATGGTGAAATTCAGGGTGTTGTTACAGCCCGTCACGTCGCACGGTATGAAACCTGTGTACGAATTCGAAATGGACGTGAACACTACTAACCCGGAGAATCCGAACACGATCGGAGACAATCAGTACTCTCTGAAATTGCCAATTTGGATCGAGACGAATTTGCGCATAGACGGCGAGAGCAAACCGAAGGATTTGTATTACAATCCTGATAATTATACCAGCGAGGTGAACGTCACTACGGAGGCAGAGTTCGGACCGGCTATGACCCATAATTATACGATTAGGAACCAAGGTCCATCGGACGTCGTCGAAGCGGAAGCTTTTCTCGTTTGGCCTGCGCAAACCTTGGCTGGGAACGAGTTACTGTATTTGCTGGAGCAGCCTGAGACTTCTGGACCTATAGCTTGCGAGCCTGCGAACGCGAATTACCTGAGCTTGAAGGTACGCCAGTTTTTAATTGATTAACGAACGAATTGATAAAAATTATTCAGTCATTGATTTTTTTACGAAATTTGACAAGAATTTCTTAACTTTGCACAACTCGTACAATAAATCCTGTATAGTACTTATATTTAAAAAACGTGTCTGTTTCAGTTGGAGCAACGTAAAAGACTGTACCATCACTCGGACCCGTCTGGAGTAATCTTGGACGAGTCCCCGTCGGGCAGGACGATCAACGTGCAACGGGGATTCGAGGTGGACAAAAGTAAACTGCAGAAGGAAGTGGAGATCCATACTGGAGACAGTTCGGACGTCCAGAAATCTCGTCACTCGTCATCGTCGTCAACCAAAGTGATCACTAGCGAGACGAATAGATTTCAGTTATCCAACACGGGGAATGAGCCAAACGTCTTGATCACGACCTACACTCAGAACACTTCGGGGACTGGCTCCGTGAGTACCGGGGATTTGAGCGCCGGGAACAGAGGAGTGATCTTCCACACAGAGTCCGGTGGTTACAGCGACACTCTCGGCAGTGGTTTCCGGCCCACGGATAGCAGCAGTACTCTGGGAATGAGAGTTCCTGGTTACGAGAGTCACGGAACACGCGTGAATCAGAGTTTTGAGGCTCGCTGGGGCGAGGCCAGCGTTTCTAGAGATCGCACGTTCCAATCGGGCACGACCGAAGCTAATGTGAACTACAGCGACGACAGAAGACACCAAGAGTTATTAAGAAGGCAGCAAGAAGAACAACGCGTCAGACAAGAAGAAGAGGCTCGACTGGAGCATCTGAGGAAAAAGAACGAGATGCTGGCCGTGCAACGGCAGAGAGAGGAGCAGGAACGTCTGTATTATCAGAGGCAACAGGAAACGGAACTGAGAAGGAAACAAGAGGAAGAGCGAAGGAGGCAAGAGGCAGAGGCTCGAAGACTGGAGGAAGAAAGGAGAGTAGAGCAAGCAGAGATTCGAAGACAGGAGGAAGAGAAAAGGAGAGAGGAGCAAGCGGAGATTCGAAGACAGGAGGAAAGGACAAGATTGGAGGAGGAGAGGAGATACGGTAGTTCTTCTATGGGGCATCAAGTGACGGAGAGCGGGATCGTCACTGGTAATCGGGAAGAGACTGTTCGGGGAGGAGAGTTCGGGTTCCAGTTGCGTAACGTCACTTCCACTCAGGAATTGGAAAGATTGTTCGGTTCTCTGTCGCAGTCTGCGAGCGGTTATGAGCTGTACAACAGACAAGGCAAACATTTCGTTCAGTTCATGTCAAGATTCAGAACTTCGGCCGATAGGAGAGATTACATCGAATTCCAGGACGGTTCTGTGTTCCCTCTTCAGGATCGTTCCGGAGGTCCTAGTTACGTCTCTGACGCGTCCGAGGGGAGAGACAGCAGATTTTTGAAAACAGAGGGTGAGCTTTTAGTCGATTCTAGTGGAAAGGGTTTCATCGTATTGAAAGACGGCAGGAGGTTCCCACTTCAGGGTTCTTTCTCCTACTCTGAAGAACGAACTTATAATATTCCACAATCGGGCTACGAATCGAAGGATTACAGCACGTCGTGGAACGAAGAGCCTGGTCAAGAGAACGTAGAAAAGGAATACGAGTCTAGATATTCTAGCACTCACGAAGAAAGGCGAACGGAAGATCGAAGAGTGACCAGTAGAATTTATGGCAGGGACAATCACGAAAATTTGAACGAGGACGAAGAACCGTTCGGGGATTCGAACACGTACGAGAAATCTAGATACAAACGGGAAAGTGATATGGTCGATGTGAACGAGTTTATAAAGTTCGAGAGGCTTCATAGAAAACCCAGAGATCTCGAGAACGATCCCTTCTTGAGTCAAGGGTCATTGGAGTCCGGGAAAGAACCCGAAAACACTCTTAAATCGCTAGGGTCGGGTAGTCCTTGCGATAGCGTAAAATGTGTTACGCTGAGATGCGTTTTGGGCCCCTTGAAAAAGGATCAGGAAGTCTGGATTGCGGCCAGGTACAGGGTGGACGCGAGGACATTGAATAAAGCCGTGCCTCAAGAGAAAGTGAGAGTGTCGACTAAATTAGTGGCTCGAGTCACTAAGCAACCGTTCATAGGCACACCTGCCGAACAGGTGACCAAAAGTCACGAAATTAAGACGAACGTCGAGCCGAGTATAACACCATCTGCGCCGGACGTTATTCCACTCTGGGTCGTGGTACTGGCCGCCTGTGCTGGAGCCATCATCCTGTTGCTGCTTATCTTCCTTCTCTACAAGGTTCGTTCATGCACATCACCCTTACGTAAAATCGCTTTCTCGGCGAGAACATTATTTTAACGATACGCTTCTATTTCTTTTATAGTGTGGATTCTTTAAGAGGAACAGGCCCACGGACGCCCCGGAGAGGCAACCATTAAATAGAAATGGTCATTTCCAGCAGGGTGACGATCATTGAACAACGAGCGAAGAGTCGATCAGTGGAACGAATTCTCAAAAATAAGCCAAGAAATGCCTTGATCCTCTCTTCATCATAGAAAACCTAAATCGCGAGTGCCTTTGCAAACGAGGAAACTGCCGTGAAAGAGGTTTTTCTCTACTGCCACTGAATACTCCTTCCAGCTCGATAATGCAAGTCTCTAGTCAGGAGGTTTTTCTTTATTATATCTTTTTTAAACTAATTAATTTACTTAAGCTGCTCGTTCGGCAACGAGCAACGACCGATTCGCTGTGAAGGCTGAAGGGATGGTCTCCAGAAAATGCGTTTATGACTCGAGTACACAGACTGTACTTGTTTCTTACTTCGAAACGAAACTGCTTACTTTCAAGAACTCGAAAGACGATCGAACGAACTCTTCTGATAAAATATGATTACGATCAGAATGACTCGGAGAAAAGAGAATGGTTTCTCATGTACAGAAATCTCATACGTCGTTGACATATTTTTTCTGTCTCTTAAAACGAAGTACAGCTAACGTCGATTATTTATTAAACACTATTTCTATACTATAACATCGAATAACGTATAAGATACAGCGTTGTAACATGAAACCGGGACTTGCCTCGGTTCTATATGTGTATAATCTTGTAAATTATAGATTTGTTACTAAAAAATGTTCAGAGAGGAGTTGAGCTAACGCATATTAATAACTGTGTAGAAAGTAAACGAATATCGACAAAAAAAACGGGAATGTAGGAACTGATTTGTACATACAGACTTAAGATGAAATATTAAAATGAAAAGATATACATAATATTATTACTGTAATGTCTAATATCTTATTGTTACTGGCCTGAATAGGAACTCTGTTAAAGTAATTTCGGAAAGTTAATTTTTATTATCAGTTTAGTAGAAAAACCACAATGACATAATAATAGACGTAAAACAGATGCGTGATTACTTTTAAAATATTATTCCAATGTTCTCACTACGACAGCTGTACGAAGCACGTGTTTATTTAAATCACGTTTAAATCGGTATTAACTTACGTCGCGCACAAATGATAAGAAAAAGAAGGTATACAAAAATATACATCTCAACGATCTCGTTTCGTTTGATAGATTTATTTTGACAACGGTTCATCACTCTTCCTCTCTCTCCCTCACGCACTTCTATTCACCCTCCCTTTATTTTGTTGCTTCATTGTCATCGATAAAATGTACATATATAAAAATAATCTGTGAATACAATAGTTTTGTAAAATATGGTACCGCGCGTTTCTCTTAGTCTTTTCCTGAAGAGCCTCGAAGTAGAAAAGGGATTTTTTTAGAAAACTTTCTTGTCCTTTCAATGATTCGTTTCTTTGTCGCGATCAACGTAAAGATAATGAAACAAACAGAAATGTTACATAAAATGTGTGCCGATACTCTTAACTTTTTCTCCCGTGAACTGTTATTGGATAAAACGTTACAAAAATCAATATGTGGTTTAGAAAAAATATATATATATATCTATATATGTATATATGCGTATAAAAGAGCAACTGATAACATCCCAACCAGAATTATTTGCTAAAACCATCAATCGTCAATTACATATTCGCGTCATATGTATTCCGTTTCGAATACTTTCGTAAATTAAAATAAATACCTACATCCGATGCACGCGGATGCACTACCCAACAATATGTATTTACAATAATAATACACTAGGTTGCCTTTTCGTAAAACCAATAAAAATTCTTTTACATCGTTAAATTTATGTTAAATCACACGGGCGAATATCAGAACGAGTGTTTGTACTTTACCCACTGAACGAACGACGTTTCACGAGAATACGTGACCGACGTTTCCGAGCTCAATTAGTTTTGGAATTGATTTTGATTGATTTTATAATTATACAACGCAATACACGTGTTGCTACTGCGGCATGACACATGGAAAACAATTACGATTCTTCCTGAAAGGATCGCGGTCAACGATCAATCGCATCGTTCACAATTATCTCAATCAGACGGAAGCTAACTACGAGACTTACGATTCGCGGACAATGATCGAGATACCCGATTGAACGATCTCACGAAGTCGTGAGATAGTGTGACAATGTAGATAGTACCCGTATCGTTAAAACCCGCGATGATATCGCGCTTAATTGGAATTTTCTTAGTTTCTACGTACGAATGATTGAACTCCTTTCATTCGGATAGGAGGGATGATTCACGAGTCGAAAGAATAACCAACCTTTCGACGGTCGATCGTAGCTTTGGTTCGGTTTTCGATTAAGCTTCGCTATTGTTGCACGATGTGACTAAATCATGCACCACCTCTTCTTGGATCTCATCCTCGTATCAGCTGTCTGGAACCTGAAGACAGATAAAGAACATGTTGATCTAGTTCAACGAACATTTCCTTGGTTCAAAATCTATTGTTTTTACCTTCCATTGTAATTGATTGCCAATTTTGTACAGCTCATTCAATGATTCAGCTAATTTTCCGGAACTCTCAAGATCTTTGTATTTACGATAAAGTTCAAGCGCGGCTCTTGCGTCCTCGGTAGAATCGTGCGTCTCCGACTGAATTTTCTTGCCCAAAAAGTGCCACGTGAGGAAACGGAGTGATACCATACGGTGATGCGGCAAGTGAAAGAGCAGTACTGTGTCTACGATTTGTTCCGGCGGTACGACTAAATTTATTACCCTGTAAATATATGGAAGAGAAAGATACATAGAATTGACATATCGAAAAGGAAGATCATTGAATTATGGAAAAATTGAATTACCTAAAATCATTCTTTAGCCCGTGACCAACGAACATAATTCCGTTATCAACGAGAAATCGTAGTTTCTGGTACGTCGATTTCAACGTGGTCAAGTGTTTACTACTGAAATTGGCATCCAAGTCACCAGGCTGAATTCCACTGAATTTGGTCAAGTAATCGACTACTTGTTCCTGAGTGCTTATATAGTCGTCTATGAAAGGAGTTCCTTCTAAAGGTCCTTGACTGATAAATTAAAAACACAGTTTCAATAAAAAGACAGTTTCGATCGCAATTAAACAAGTATATCAATTTTACGTACCCACGTATACAAGTTATACGTGCGACGGACATGTGACTCGGTTTTATCGTAGACATTTTCCCATCGCTTCTCAGCTCCGCCTCTTCCTGATTCAAAGTTACAAATTCCGCATCGATTCCGACTAATTCCCCTATAAAAGTAATTTCAACGTTGTTGCATCCGAGTACTAATAGGTAAAGGGATTTGATTATTTTCAATTCGATACCTGTTTTGGGCATCTCGTCGGATGTCAACGGAGTAAACGTGATACCCCTTGTTCCTCCGCTTCTAGCAACGCATTTGTCTTCTCCAAACACGTCGTACGTGAGCGGACTCACAAATGGTGCTGGCTCGGGCTCTGGCACGGCCGTGTAATGAAGAACACACGGGACTTTCCAATCCAGGTTGAACCATACTGCTTCTTGCGGCGTTACTGCAGATATACTGGATCAGAAAAAGATGATAATGTATTTCTTCAAATTATTCGACTACTTTCTATTTCCAAGCAGAATGGATTCACGTACCAGAAATCGTTGAAGATGTACCACTGCGATACTGCGCTTCCACTCGATCGCTCGTGATAATTCGGACCGACTCGCAATAACGCGACGATGTTCCTTCTATCTTCGTTATTCTTGTCATCGATGTAACAAACGACGGCGCTCAGACTGTACCGCATTTTACTAGCTTTATCAGATTTCTTCTCTTTCTCCACGTCTTCATTGTCGGACGTACTCGCGTGATCTTCTGCTTTCTCTTCGGAACTGTTTTCAATCGCCTCGGAACTCTGCGATCTGCTATCACCTTGTCCGTTCTGTACAACAGGCTCTTCGGCAGATTTAGTATTCTCGCTATCATTCTTTGAACCGCCAATCTTTTCCACGAGCAATTCTCCGCTGCCGTTTAAGGAGATCTCGATATTGTGCGGAATCCACGAATGAGAATAATACAAGTGGCTGGGTGGCGTTGCGACCGGCGTCGAAGTCGTTGTAGGCGGTGTGACCGGCGACGTCGATACATTTTCTATAGAGATATACGAATTGAATAACAGAAGTTGAAATTACGCGACAGTGAATACATGAGGCAAGTTACTATACCTGGATCTCTGCCAATGTGTCTGAATCTACAACCAATTCGGGTACAATTGTTACCGTACCGACATGGTTTTACGGTAACGGGGACGGGACTCGAAGACGGGCTACTGTCTTTGCCACTTAACACTTTCTGAACCACTATGTCCATTTGCGCTTGCCAGAATCCTTTTTCCTGTAGGAACGATCATTTCCAAACGTTAGAATTCATGACAGAATTTACTGTTCGTCGAATAGAGTGTATGTTATGTATAGACCCAAGGAGGACATAAAAAAAATGTTTTAAACACACGAATATGACAGTCCCTCCATACATACATACACACGTAACATGTAAATCACATATAGTGTTGGATGTACCTGTTGTGTATCTAGACCACAGTTCAGAGCCAGTATTTGAGGTAGTTTAGTCAACTGTCGAGATTGGAGAGTAGGTGTAAATTTCTGACAACTGTCACACCATGCGGGTGTAATTTTCTCGGGTCTTAAACTGCAGGCAAGAACACTCGTGAATGGAACCTCCTCAGCTACAAAGGATAAAAATTAATTTGTCTCGTTTCCTTTCCGACGTGGAATCAGCCGATACAACAGTAACGGTCAACTAGAGTTCAAGTAATGTCTTACAAGGATTCGTTAATTCTGGATATACTAAGTTGCACAGCAACATGATGGAATGTTTCGTAGCTTCTTGCCCACATTTGAGACAGCGGTGTATGTGCATCTGTTCGGATCCAAACAGGCGACTAATTTCTGTCTCCTCGTCCCGTACCTCGTTTTCTTCGATAGACTTTTTGCTGTTCTTATCTATTCATGACAAATATCCAAATAATTTCTGCTGATGCGTTACGAAAACACAGTAATATTTAAAATACATGAAAGGAGTGTCGTTCTATCATAGGAACGTATTAACGGTCAGATAAAGTAAATGTCTTCGGAGAATGTCACTGTATCGGCAATGTTCGTGCATGTTTCGTTACTTGATATTTCAATTCTATTTAAGAAAGACGCGGAACGTTAAATTGTGTAAATATATACATATTTGAAAAAGCATTGCCGTTACAAATACATATAAATAGACCATGCGTTTGCGAAAAGTAATAATGAACAAAATCTGAACAAAGGGTTAACAAGCGTTCTGTATAAGTGTAGAATAATAAAAAAATTGACACAGTCGGAGTATCCGAAGAATATAAATACGAAAGTGCGTCCGATTAAAAAATAAAACTTCTAGAAAAACGTGAAATCATATTCTTTGGATACGGTTTAATTGATGCAACAATAAAAAGAATCACATACAAAATGAAAAATAAACACAAAAAGTGCCCAATTAAAAGGATACACGTGAATTGTGTTTACCTTTCGATGTGATCCACATATATTTACCATCCTCCTCCTGTTTTCTCCGCTTTTTCCTCTCTTCGTCGTGACTCCTATACCGAGAACCGATGTCTTGTAGAATGCTGGGAAAGTCCTGTTCGTTATAAACGAACGGCGCGCATTTCGGTCCTGATTTAAGCCGAGCGGCTTCTTCTTCCTCCTGCTGTCTTTTTCTCGTTTCCAGAATCTCGTAGTGAATCTGGTGTAATATGAATCTGTTCCAACTCTGAAAAAAGATCGACGCCTTCGTTTAAGAATACCGTCCTGTCACACAGTATGTACAATTCCAAATTAATAAGCGTACTTGTATCAGTCGATTCAAATTCGTTTTCCGTTTCGCTTCGGGATGAAGATCGCTGAGTATCAGTCCCAAAGCTGCCGCCTCAGGGACCGTCCTGAAAGCCCGCAGGAAATTAGCGGCCTGGCAAGGCAGACCTCGGGAGGTATCCAGCATGTGAAACAAGAATCCTAGCTCGCAAGACAGACAGAATTCTCTTTGGCACGAGTGAGAGAGCAATGCTATTCTGACGGGTTCACAATAATACAGTAACTGAAAAATAGAGACGTTTAGATGATCCGTTCTTAAAAGAGAAACAATTAATTTGAATTACCTGTAGCATAGCGTTACAGTAGCTATTGGGAAGCGTGGCTTCGAGGCCGCCGAAGTTGGTGCGGTTGTACTGATCGAAATCGAACTCGTCGTAACCGAGTCGTGAGTATTTTACCTCGATTTTACGGTAACGCTTAGGTATGGCCACAAAGGTACCGTCGTCAGTTTTAGAACGCGAATCGCCAGCGAAAAGCTTCGCGACTACGCCCCGTCGCTTTTCCAAATTGTAAGGTACCTGGAAAAAAGGTATCATTTCTTACTCTGATCGTTCAAGCGTTTCGGACAAAGTCTCTTCTGTTTCTTCTTAGAAATTTACGCATGGACGAATACTCTTGTTACGGAAGCGTTCGATGTACCTGTACTTCAGAACGTGAAAAAATAAATAATACCTATTGAAAACACGTGGGACCGAGCCAATAAGTCAGGCTTACGTGTATGTCTTAGAAACTTTATTTCATTTAAATACAACTTCGATCGTTACATATTATTCGCGGGAGGTATATTCTGTATAGGCGACAGGTGTGCTAAAACTATCGAACACGATTTAAATAAAACGCATCGCGTTCCGATGCGAAATCCAAGGCAGTGATTTATGTTTGTTCATATTAACCGCGTATATCTTTCTTGGAAATGTACGTTTCGATAAGCTTTTGGGTGCGATGGATCAACAACAAATCACAAACAGATAATCGCCTAAATGCAATTACCGTCGTCCAATAACTGCATTTTTACACAACCACGATCATACTATTACGTACACCTTAGAATAATTTGATACTCTCTCGTTTTTCATATTCTCCTTTCGTTCATATAACGACACGAAAGAAATCATTAGAATACTGTCGCTAGCTTAGGAAAATATATCACGTTTTTATTTTCGATGTTGCTCACTATATTTATCACGAAACGTTATCAGTCTTAAGTCACGTAATATCATTGCTTTCCTTAAATGTACAAGCCTCAACTTATAACTGTAAGGCTAAAATAAAACTCATTTAAAAAAGTCGTGGATTCTAACTCCGTATTGTGTACGGAGCTAATAAATCTCTCACAGAAACAACGCGATCGTGTAGAAAGTCGAGAAAAAAATATAAATGACAGTTATCATAGGAAGTTTCCTATAATAATCTTTCGAGTTTCCTGTTAATATCCAAATAGTAAGAAAATTAAAGAACAAACGTAATTTTATGTAGTGTGTAAAGCTGAGAAACTCTAAATAAAAGAAGGATGACAGAGAGTTTGGAATTTAAGGCAGCTTTAGAAAAGTTGGTAAAGAATATTGTAGAAGAGTGGGAGAATATTGTTTCCTCACTTGATTTCTGCGATATGCCTGAGGATTCGGGGCATAGCCTATAGTCCCTTGCATTTTCATTGTGCGCAATATTTCAGGATCGATCGCTGGCGTTTTCCTGTAAAATTATCTCTCCTCAGTTTCATCCTATACTTTCTTTCTGGGTAAACAAATTATAACTACTTGCCTGTAAATCTTTTTTAAAAATTCCTCTGGCCAATCACTCAATAGAGGTTGTCCAGTATATGTATATGGTATTGTACTCAATGGCGTCACGTCGTCATCGAACGATATAGATGGAAGCGATTCGACTGGATCAGCAAATTCTGTTGGCCTGAATAAAAATAAAATTATTTTTCCGCGTTCATCTAATGGATCATTCGAATTTCATTCTGCTTACTAACCTAGAAAACGTATTAAATTGCGGCTCAGGTGTATTCGTAGACATAAGGTGTATAGAACCTGCTGAATCTCCAAAGCATAAACACTGAGACGTAGAAGATACGTCGAACGACAGTACCATAGCTCCACCAGTCGCAACCTATTAATGCAAAAAGAATCTGTACAGTCGAACGTTATAGCTGACAATCATTCTCTCAAGACATGTCATTTACCTGGTACAAGCACGTCATCGCTGGCTGCACGTTGGCATAGATAGTGTCGAGAAGTTGCATTTGCCCCAATGGCGATACAACAGCCAAACGGCTGGAGTAACTGGGTAGAAATTTTAACAGCAGAGGATATACTAAAGTCGTAACAGGGCTCAATGCTCTCATTTGTCTCAAATCGTATGCCATTAAGAATCGATCTACCGACAGACCCTGTCGACTGAATACAATGATATATTAGTCAAGAACTTCGGTATCAAATCGATCTCGATATACTCTGAGTCTTACCTATTGCTAAAACCACAAGTGACGAGGTAATTTCCTTGAACATCGAAGTCACTGAGGGACCCACTATGCGTTTCGAAAGTGTGCTCTACCGCCAATGTATTCGGATCCCTCAGATCGATTCTTCCAGCAGGATTACCGCAACATACAAGCCTGCTATGCTGCCTCAAAATTGCACAACCGTTTTCACCTACATGCACCTATAAATATAAAACGGTACTGATGTCTGTGAAAAATCTACTTCATATCTGATCACTTACTAGTCCAATCTCTTTCCCTCTGGTAAGATTAAAGTCAATTATTTTCTCTTGATGTCCCCCCATGAGTAATCGCGTTGGTGAAGTTTGGAGCATACATTGCATGTCTATCATATTCGGAGACCTACAATATTATTCATAGTAATATTCATACAATTGTTACGATTGATGTAGTAACGTACATGTGCGAAAACATCGGTATGCCCCTTCTTAACTGGCATCGTAGTAAACTCTGGGTCAAGATCAAGATTCCTTCGTCTAAAGGATGAATGTGTCGTATTTCTTGAGTGGCATGAACTTGAAACGATGTATATTTTTGTAAACCAGCTCCATAATAAGAAGTTACGTGACCCTATGGAATATTATTTATCGTTGAGTATTTTAAGTGACTTGAAATAGTGTATCATTTGATGCAACGTAGACATGTATGATAGCCTAGCAGGAGTTATGACAATAAATCGCATAAGTACCCCTTGATTCCCCATCCACATAAGTTCCTCGACGTTATCAAAAGTGGTTGTGGAAACGCCGAATCTATCCCCCCCGTCTGCGAGCAAGGCACGAGTTTCATGAAACTCGGCCCCAGTAAACTCTTCTCCAAACTGTTCTGCAGCAGGTACATATTCATCGCCGGGCAAAGCATAATTCGATTCTTCCCCTGCAACGAGAGATAAGAAAAAATTGATCGGAAAACGTCTCGGCGAGAATCTGTTGTATGATCAAACATAACTTGCGACAACATTTCAACACTGAACGAACACAGGTTATCGATTATTAACGTTTGACAATCTTTCTTATCATTGTTTACGACGTTTCGATATCTTTGCTCCCGAACGGGCATTTAATAATCGTTCGAAACAGTAACGTCACACATGATTTAAACCACGACCTCGCGCCTGAACCTGTGAATTTTGGAAGCTGACGAGAAGCCGAACAGCTAATTAAAACTAAGCATGTACATCGAAAACAACGGAAGGAGAGAGGGAGTAGCCAATAAAGGTTCACCGAATGGGACAAGAATTGCATACAACGTTCGTTTATCATTAATGTGGGAAACAAACATCGCGTGATACTAACGGTTAATGGGATGTTAATACAGTGGTCGTGTTTCACAATTCATGCAGCGAGAATCACGAGAGCGGGAAAGTTGGAGGAATGGTTTCTTTATCCTCGCGTCTTCGAGTTCAAGACATCGCATGCTCCCGGCAAAAGTTTTGGCGCCTTCGGGGAGAACAAAGGAACACTTACAGAGAAGTTCTTGCTCGTCACTGCCGTTACTGGTCGTGGCCTCTACGGGCTGGTCGTAATGGCTTAAAACCGTGGGGTAATCCATGATATTCCTCAATTCAGATCGTTCCTTTTTCAAACATGGAATTGCCGACGATACGAAGCTGGCCGTGGAGTTGTCCGATTATCTTTTCATAACAACTCTTTGTTCGGAGCACACGCACACGCACGCATTCAGTCGCCTTGGCAACTGTGCAACAAGCGAAACACTTACAGACAAGTATCCACGATTTCCACAGCACCGAACGACTCGACTCGCGAGAACTTTGACCAGCGTAATATTTCCCGCACTCTTCTACCGCGATAAATAAGCCGAATCGTTTATCGGGACAACTTTAATTCATGAATCCACTTTCCTGCGCGTCTCACCCTTGTAAAGTCGTACAAGCCTGTGACGGACTGCCAAGTGCCAGTGGCACAGGCTTCCAACAGGGATCTTCGAATGTATCCCTCGGCCGGAAAGTGGGGACGACGCGACCATGGTGGGGACTGGTACTTGACGGGGGTATGCTAATAGGCATGGTCAGCGAAGGCGCATGAGGAGAATACTAGTGGGGATCGAAATACGGGCGAAAAAGAGGGGAAGCGAGCCGTGCGGGATAAATTCTGAAATCCCTGCTAACGTGCCGTCGCCAACATCAGGTAGCCAAGCTTCGCCTTCGGGACCATCACGTGACTAAATAGCGGCAATTCCAAAACACTAAATTCAAATGGTGTATAGTACATGCCCTTAGAAATCTCAAATCGTATTATTTTTCAAACCGTGGATTTACTACATTTGTAATTTAAGTCTTGTTTTATGTTTTCAAAACGAAAGGTATTTGAGAATGTAAAATAATGAAATAGGATTTTACCAAGAAATGTGAAATATCATGTATTAATTAGTGTAATAATAAATTTTATTGTCCTCTAAAAAGTACAGTTTTTGTTAAGGATTTCCTAATAAATGTTTTGTGATTATTTAATGTTTGACTAGTACCTTCGTACCGTAACTTAACATCTAAATAATAGGATATAATTAATTTAATTATTTCATATTTATGGTTGTCTAGTATATCTTTTCCAATGAATGCGCGTCAAAATTTTTAAATAGCGTACACATATCGTTGTATTGTTCAAAGAGTGCACGGTACATGCACGGTATGAATTTCCGATATGATAAACTCTCACTTGCTGTGTGCCTTTTTTAAAGTATTTATTCGTATAGTCTGTTCTTTGCCGAGATGATGCTTATACATTTCGACGTTGGTTGGAAGTATAACTGTAGCTGGTGAAGGGAATTTTGTTAAAAAATTTTGAGGAACTTAAATAGACGATTGTCCTTTAGGGACAGTAAGGAGATTGGATCCTAAAGCGCGTTTCCCACTGGCCGGCGGCGTCGAAACGGTGCCGCCGCCGGCACGGACAGACAGGGCCGAAACGTTAAGTTGCGAGATATAGGAAAAAGCGTGTAAAAGCTGAAACTTAACATTGCGGCCCTGTCTGTCCGTGCCGGCGGCGGCACCGTTTCGGGGCCGCCGGCCAGTGGGAAACGCACTTAAGTCGTAAAGAATACGTAAGTTTCAACCAGTCATAAAATACCGTTTTAGAACGGATGAGTAATCCATGACTAAGTACTTAAGCCGTTTCAAGCCGACTCGCACAAGGAACCATAAAAATAGAGTTTTCCTTAGGAAACCGTTACAGTCTCAAGGACAATAGACCATCCTACGTAAAAGGACAACTAAAAAGCCATTACACAAAGTACCAACCCGGTCCCAACACGTAAAATCCCATCGATGGTTTTAAGGGACCGCTTGTCCCGGGTTATTCATTATCCTTTCACCGTAAGCGCAAGCATAATATAACAAAGAAAAATTATACGCTAAAGTAATGCTTAATATAAAAATATGTATTGCGCAGCAACACAGATTTAAATTCCTTATGGTTGTTACAATTATTTTATGTTTACAATTGGTAATTTTTAGCTTGTTTTCTACTTTAAAGATATTAAATATTTTTTCCGTGATAGTACACGTTGTAAGCGTATCTTCTCGTGGACCTTAATGACCCACAAGATTTATGTGCAATAAAATTTGAATTTGCAGCTATACATTCATCTATTAATGTTATACACGTTAAACATTTTACTTGTTTCAATAGTTTACGTTCTGCAAACCCTGCCGTGTACATCACAGCATGGTGTAGCCCTTCGTATATACTATGTAATGATAGATACTCTTCAATATTTGTGTCTTCGTCGTACTCTTCAACGAGATTTGCTCTACCATACGTCTGAATCGTGATTTCAAATTACCGCTAGTTGGTCACGTGATGGTCCCGAAGACGGAGCATGTATATGTATATAGTCAAAGGTACAGGCGTCCTTGAGTGTAGCGACATCTGCTGCTTCGTGTGCCGGTCAGTGACGGCAATAGCTATTAATGAAAATCACTATTTAGATTCTAGTGTCAATTCAAAGTGAAACGAAGACGGAAGCGTGTGATGGAAATTAATTGAGGAAAATTGCATTAAACGAATTGAATGAAGGTGCGTAGATGTCACTCATGGTAAGATTGGGTAAGATACGAAAGTGGTGTCATTTGAAATTTCTACGTGATAACCGTAAGAACTCACGTGACCGCGAGCTCGCGATTTTATTGGTTCGAGTGTCGGCCATTTTCCTCTCGTCCCCGCGTCAAGTTGTCGAGTGTTTCGGCATACCAGTGTTCAACTTTAATCATCGAAACCTTGTATGCACATAATTGATACCAGTTCAGATGCTTAATTACAACATACTTAGTACTTCAGGTATTATAATCACTGTTATATCGATATGCAGGCGTTCGACTTTAATATTTAAACTTTTTTGCACGTACCACCGAGGAGATACTCCTCGGTGCACGTACGTAATTGTTATATCGTGTAAAGTGTAAACGCTTACGACGCATATATTACTTCACGTAAGTATTGTAAATACCTATTCGTATACTATACTATGTTTCGACTTTCGCTATTAATATCGAGTAGCAAATACGCGTTCACTTGTGCAACTACGTGTTGAACATTTTCAGGATACATTGCTTGTATTTTTTTTTCTGTTCCCTCCTTCAGCGTTTGAGCTGTATTTCATATTTTCCTATCTCCTTCGATTTACACCTCGTCCCTCTCTCTCCAAATCCTATCCAACCCTTGTTTCGTAATCTTTAGCGTAGAAAAATTGTTTCATCGAGCTCTGAAGAAATAGGTGTCAAAAGGAGAGTCGAAAATGATCTTGAATTTCCGCGTAGTCACATGACCGTGGTCACATGACCCCCACTCTCCTGGTTCAGACGCCGGCCATTTGCTTTTTACTCTTGTGTACGTGCGTGTCGTAGTGTCAGGCGCTTTCTGTGTTTCTGTATACCGGCATTCGACTTTAATCATCAAAACCTTGTACGCACGTAATTGTCATCAGTTTAGACGCTTAATTATGACGCATTTATTACTTCACGTAAGTATAGCTACTGTTCGTACATTGTTATACGTCGCTATTAATGCCGATTAACAAACATGTGTTTGCTCAACTACTTGTTGGACATTCCCGGGATCATAATGTTTCTTTATTTTTATCTGCTACAGTTTTCGTTTTTATTCTTCTTCTTTGATGACTGGCTGGTTCCTGGTATTCCACAACTTTTGGTCGCTGATTCTTGACATCCCTCACCTTTTGATCGCTGGTTTCTAACATCTCTCAACCCTGGCTGATGGAAGGAACATGAATGAAGATTTTTTTCACAGTAAGTTATATGCTTTCAACTTCCTCCGGCCACTTAATCGTGTAGGAACGAGAGGTCCGAAACGGCATGGGTGACCGGTTGTATTTTATACTTGTTTCACAAGCATAGTGATACCGAGTGTTTAAATATTATTGTAAATGCTCGGGAGTAGTAACAATTTTATACTGCATTGTGTGATACGTCAGCTGATTGTGGGGTAAGAAATTTGTTCGATTTTTAAGTACTTGAATACTTGATAGATTCCATGTAAAGAAATCTATAATTTACAATTAGAATGATTCTTTCATTTTCATTAAGATAGAGATGAAAGAATTCAAAACATTCTTGATAGTTCATTTCGTGTAGTATACGTATTTTTTTTAATCTACATGAGTAACGGATGATCAGATGTACGAAATGTATCTAACAAATGAACGTTTTATTCGGAAAGTTAACATAATAATACGCTGTAAAAGCTAGTTTTTCCAGTCGATTACAGGTGAACGGTACGTACATACTTTAGAGTGTGAATTCTTTTGTATGCTGAACTCGGGTGCGGAGTCGTCCCGGGACGGCTCCCGCAGGTTTTTGCATCCGAGCAGATGAGAGCCCGTACGTACCGTCGTGCCGTATGAGTCTGTTGGTTCGTCTATTATGCCTTTCTTAAATCTAGGAGAGGGTCAGGCAGGCAGATAATTTACTTATGGTATGCCTGTTAGCATGTGAGTAGATAATGTCGGGCATGTTAACACATTCTCATTCGCATCTCTTCCTTCTCGCTGTGTGCACCTTCTGAAGGCGGCAACTATCAATGATCGTGCATTCAGAAATTATGTTTGTATAATTTCCCAAATGCAGAGTCGTCCAATTGCTAGTTTGTCACTAGTGCTCGTATTAATAATCGAGGTGGCCACTGCTGCCTCAACGTCTTGGACAATCGCGGTTCCGTTTAAAAAAATGTTCGAACTAAGTAGAATTCAGTAGTTGTGTAGCTATCAGCTCGGAAAGTAAGAAATATCATTTACTGGAGTTCGGCGAAAATTATGTTGAACATGCATGTAGTGGCAATGACTCGTCATGAACATAACTCGAGATAGATTGGAAGAATTTATTTATCAGACATCGATGTGTGTTACATATATTTCACAAACTATTATTATCAATTGTACGCGTGAGAGACGAGGATCACAGAAATGTCGAAGTAATGTGAAAATACGTATCCAAGAATTTTCTAACTCTGTTTCCAAAATACATTCATCTATCATTTACTTTCGTTTACAATACGACGTAGGGTAAAGTACAAGAGCAAGGACGTATACAATTTACTTTTTACATCTTTCGAGTGATCTTCCGTTCGAACTGTCGACACAGACGTTTTCTAGTCGGTTTACCTAAAAGAGAGTAAAATAATTTTATCACGGTCGTGTGACAATGCAAAAGAATCGCACGTTACGTACCTTTTAATGGCGTCGAATGAGACGCGTGCGATGATGCAGGGCGTTAATGAGTTCTTCGTCGGATTCGGCCGACCTACGCCTGGATACCCAACTAATCGGCGTGCCGGCGACCGAACCAGAGATTTGATTAGATTGTTGGGTCGGGAACGACGAGCGACGAATAAGCGGCGGCGGTCTTGCACCTACGGTTTCGATTTACCCGTTTTACGCGTTTGCGTTGAAGTAGGCCGATCGAGTCGATCTAATTATACACGTCTACCTAATAGCCGTAAAGCGGATCGATGCATTTCGAAAGACCTCTGACCGTTCATTGGATACCTTGGTAGGAACCTCCTCTGAAGGGGAAGCTCGATCGTGGATGCTTTTCTTGACCCGGCACTACCTGCCTTAGACGAGTCCTTATGCGTTTTTCAAACATATATATACATATACATGTTTATATACTCGCGTTTTACTCTTTTTCTAACGATATATAAAGTGAGGAAATGCATTTGCGGCGTGCGCGTAAAATCAATCAGTGTAACGTTAGTCGTTGCATCCTTTCAGAAGGTAGTCTACTCTTTTAATAACGTTACTACGTTCCACGTAACGTGCTACTGGTATTTGCGGTGGCGCCTAACGACGGTAACAATAGGACTTCTACTTCTAAATATTCTCTACTCTATGAATCATAGTTCGTTTTAAATACCTTATTCAATTAATATCCCTGCGTACTATGAATCTACACGGGTCGCAGTCGCGACCGAGAAACTCTAGTTTGCACGTGACAAGATTACTTTCATCGATGTTCTATTTTTTTATTTACTCTTTTAAATCTACTGTATATCTGAACATTCATTTGGAATGTTTCGTTAAACGATCATCTTTACCTCTGCCTCTTAAATGTACCTGTAACGTGTCTACACTGATTGGATTTGCAACCACCAGAATATGTACACATAATACACACGTAAAATCATATACATATAGTACAGAGAGTCAGAAAGAGTAAATAGTTTTGACCAGAGTTAGAAGATAGACTAGTGCGATTTCCGCTGTAATACCTTATCTTTAGCGAAACGTATTCGCAACACTTCAACGAGAGCAGCTATCGCTGAAATGACAAGCATCGTAACGAGTATGTGTCCGGCGACCGGGACCGATTTCGATTGACGATCTTTGCTACCATCCTCCGCGTTCTCCGTTAAATTTTCACCGATCTCCTTCGAAATCTCCGACGTCTCGTTACTCGTGTCGTTCGTTTCGTCGACGCGGTTCTCCTCGGGAGGATCGATCAGATAGATTGGTGCATAGGTGCAGTTCCCGTCGTAATCACAGCGAAAAGCTGACTTCAATCTGTCCTCGTATTCGAACATCGGGCAGCGTTTCAATTTCTTATGATCCGCCGGAATCACTGTAGCGTCAACGGTCGTGTTCTCGGTCGATGTGCGATTTTCGCCAAGGGTCTCGTTTCGACTGTGGTAGTTCGTGTTGAGTAACAGCCGCAGCGGCAACGAGAGTAGCACGCCGAATATCGTCAATATCACAAGGATGCTGACGTTGATGCCTAACGATACGTGCAACGTGTCCAGCGAGAGGCGTCTCTCGCACATCTTGACGACGTTCAAACGAAAATCGCGTTCACAGTCCTCTGGTGCATCGCGTTTCGCGTTGCACCGCGCTGGCTAGGAGGCTCCTGCTCATGTCGAACGTGGTTCCTTCCAGTCGTGGTGCCACCAGTGGTTCTTGTTCCGGTTTCACATGAGCACGAGAGGGTTGCAAGAACTTTCGAGTCGTTGTCGGGCAAACGATACAATTGTATATCCCTTCTTGTCTCTCGTTCAGACGCAACTGTTGCGCATTTCGTCGTGTACTGCAGTTCCGAGTGAACCCTGGACGTCGGCTGATATTGATTTCCAGGTAGCAGAGGCCCGGCCACGTACGCGCAAGTCTCGCAGTCTCTGTTCCATCCAGGAAACTATACTTGGCGGTAATTAGACGATCGTTTAAATCGACACTGTTATTAAATGATCCCCGTCTACGTCGAGGCCGACCCTTCGGCTCGACTTCGAGCTGACGCGTTACATCGATCGCTATTGTGGTTTCTCGAGCGTTTTGTCTTTCATCGTGTACGTTCTATGGTAGAGGAATAATTTTCAACGGGGTTATTACGTGATTCAGGCAATTTCGTCAGAGTATCCTGATTTCATCATTTTGATATCCCGATTGCTGATAGAACGTCTTCTCTAATTTTGAAATTGATCGAGTCATATCTTTAAATTAAAATGAAACGCATGTGTCGGTCGATGATCTATAATGTTGAGTTACGTACAAGTCATAGAACATGCTCCACTATCGGCGAACGCATCTTTGAACTAATGACGAGGCTTAGATCTAACGCTAACAGTGACTCTCTTCGTGTTAACCAGGATTAACTACCGTGATCATTAGAGATCTAGTTCCAGGCGAACTCCAATGCAAACAGTGTCGCATTTTATTAGACATCAATTATTGTAGTGCGTTAATAATTGTAAATGCGTAAAATCTATCGATCTTTTGACGTTTCGCCGTTTCCGAAAGTCGAAAAATCGAGATGAAATACAAGGGGGACAGTAGTGGTCGGAGCCCGAAGGCGGTACAATAACGGTCGATTCACGATACGTATACAGAGATGAAAGGAAGCAGTAGCGCTAGGGCAGTGGCGAGGGTGCAAGCGGGTTTGAAATGGGCTGGTTCTCTAGCGCGTGCATACATAAATAATATTAGACAATATTGAATTAAAATTCGCATCTTTCTGGCGAGCAACAATGGACCCGGTGTCCCAACAAAGGAAATACCCGCCGCGACGTCGTCGGTGGAAGTGGCGGGTGATCCTGTGGTGGTGGCAGCGGCGGCGTTTATAAAAGTAATAAAACAGTCGAACACAACGACTCCGCGGCGGAGTGAGCGGGCAACGAGAGACGGAGAGGTAGCGAGGAAGGTGGAAAGGGCAAGTAAGCGGGATACATACTTCGCCGAGGTGAAAAGAGGAGGGTGAAGGTACGGGAAAACAGAGCAAAAGAGAGAGAAACGATGGAGAACTCCGGACCCGACCCGACCGACCGGTAGCCCAGCCAGTGCGCGTATATCTTGTTCTGCTACGCTGCATGCTGATTCTTCGAGGTTCTCATTGATGACTCCTTCGAGACCCGTTCCATCATCAAAAATCGGTTTATCGGAAGATCTCTGGTTTCTTCAAATTCTCAGTTTATTCAGCATTTCTGAAATTTCTCAATCGTCGACGGTATATTCTTGACTTTAACCTCGAGCATAAATTTTCCTCGGTTCTCTCGAGATTCAGGGCTCTCTTGTAATATCCATTTAAATCACGTGTTTCGTCTTATCGTTTTAAAAATTTCTCAATCGTTGCTCTGATTCTAAATCCCGGTCGGTAAAAAGATAAATTCTCTCGCAAGAAACTGGATAAATCGCACGGACGATACGTTTCATACGTTGTACTCGAGGGCGATACGGAGCTGGGGATCCATTTCGCGGATATCGCGAGCGTTAATATAACTTTAATACGAGCCGGTGTTCCGGTACCCGCAGATAGGGAACCAGTTCTCTACACGAAGGAAGCGTAATGAGATCGACCGGCGGGCAAACATCGAAAAACGATGTCGGCGGAGAATACGAGACGCAGGTGCGCCGAGCCGATGATCGGGCGCGAAAGACGAGCTCGCTGGTCGAGGTTGAGAGCCAGGGTATGTAGAGCAGATGCTCTCTGGCCATGGCAATGGTGACGGGGTGCGTGATTTTTCACCGCCGACAGCTCCTCCTTCGAGAACCGCGCATTCCACCTTCCACCTCCTTCCGTCAGCTTCGACCCTTCCTCGTTTCACTCGGTTCTCTTCATCCTTCGCTCGTTGCTGACTCCAGCTTCTTTCGCCTCTCTTCTTTCCATCCTTCTCTACCCATTGCGATCCGTTGTGGTACTTCTCTCTATCTTCCCTCTTCTCTCTCTCTCTCTCTCTCTCTCTCTCTCTCGCTCTCGCAAATCTCTGATTCGAGTTCCTATCAGTGGTGAACATTGGCAACGTACGCCGCGCACACGCCACTGGACACCGGTTGCACGATCTTAGATTTGCCGATCTCGCGTCCAGGGATGCAGCGCGAGGGGCACCCGTTCGCGTGTACCTTGTGCACGCACGCGATGCACAAAGGGCTCGTTCCGAGAAATGATTTTCAATAATCGGAGGGAAATGCGAAAAGGTGCACCGGTTCGCGTCACGCGTGCCGCGATAATTTTGATTGATTCCCCAAACATTATCGCGTGCAACGCGTCCGCTCTCCGGGCGGATTTTTTTAGTCCCGGCCGCGTTTAGGCAGTTACGATTCGCGTGAGTTTAATGCATTATTTGTTTCGACCCGCGGCTCGCGTTATGCGCCCGCAGTTTTTGACCAAACGTAGCACTCGAGACCATTCGTTGAAACGCACAAAACGGTTCATCCGAACTTTTATTGGAATTCTCATTTCGTATCGTATTACTGGATTGATAAACGGTTTTTGCCATGGGCTCGTGCCACGCCAATTAGCCGTATTCTTGCCTCGGATGCACGAACGGCTAATGCGTACCCTGGCGATTTCCAATCTTCCGGCTGATTGTAAATCTGCGCGGTGTTCCTCGATAGCGCTCGATACCGCGTTTTTCGCTCGTCGTGCATCCCCCGGCTATCTGCATAATGACACTCCGATTTACAAGTCGATCTCGCTTTCTATCGAGCGTAGCCGCGCTGCATACACCCGACCCGTTTACGTAAATCACTCGTTTCAGTAGTATGTACTCGGCGGAACGGCCGGTGTTGATTCTATTCAACGCCGGCCTCAACTATCTTGTAGGTACGCCGACTGGCAAATGTAAATTACAAGCCTAACGAGCGACGGCTGCCGCGCCAGCTCCTCTGTAAATCGTGTCCAATCCTCGGGTTCGTTTAAACGGCGAGGAGACATTGATGGAACTCGGCAAGTTAATTGTGTTACTCGAGCATTCCTGCTTTCCAATGATTTCGTCGAAACGGTGGACTCTATGGATTAAATCGTTTTCCACAGATATTTTTCTGATCCCTCTACGAGACGACCTCGAAATCGTCGAATGATCTTCTGCGAGAGACGACGACGCGTCTTAATTTTTCAAACTGACGTTGCAAATGTTTCACGTTGCACAAAACGGGCGTTCTATTTTCGTTTTTCATCCGTTCTTATTGCTGCATCGGTCGAAAACTTTTTGCCAGGGGTAGTATAGAGGAAGGGAACGCGGAGCGAGTCGATCCCCGTCGCGGAGAACCCGGAGGAGATGGGTAGGCATCGCAATTACGCAAATTGCGGCTCTGTTCTCGCCTGCTCCTCCGGGCTCGCTGGCCGCGTCATGACGAACAGCACCAGCCTGAAGGATGGCGTTACAAGGAATGCTCACTTGTCCACGCACACTTCCCCGGCTGTCCCTACTCCAGCAATTTGAATGAACGATACGAAGATCGAGTTTGTTGTCGATTTGACTACCGTTCCCCCGGTCTGAATGATCGTCGGAACGAGAGGAATTGCTCTAAAGCCGCGTATCCACTTGTGTCACACCCTTCCTTCGTATCACTGTTGCCCGTCGTTACGAACACCCAAACGTTGCACCGTACGAACTGTTCTTTTCACGGAGCTTATTAACACTGCAACTACCGATGATAGACGCATACCTACTTTTAAAAATGACTTGTTTTTCAAATTAATAAGTTATAAGAAAAGACAGCAATTTTTACGTTTTTATGATTGAAAATTGAATAATGAACTGATAATGATTTAATGACAATAATTGTCAAAATAATTTTACTAAAATCTTTAAACATTGAATGATGGTTGTTAGTGTCTTACGCTGTACGTTTTACGACACGTCATAAGAAACGAACGACAGTTCATGTGACATGCGTGGAACTGTGATACGCGAGGATACGAGTGGATACGTAGCTTAAGAGCAATGAAAAATACTGTTTGTATCAAGAGGACTGGTCGCACGTCTCCGATCGGAGTACGCGTGCCTACCGCGGTCTTATTAGCGCTGATCAGGCTGATAAATTTATGTGCCAGCCGAGATGTATACCGTCCCCGATCGGAAAAAATGAAAGCATCCTCGCGTCACGCGCGGTGCAATCTCCGCCTCGATTCCACGGTTGTAGAGTCGCGTTTTTGCCTCGCGACGATGCGTCGCGGCGTACCTTTACCCACGTTGCTGCCACCGCTGACGATACGTCTGACAGAGAGCGACAGAAAATCTATCAGGCTTTCAACGAAAGCGCTGGATACACCGCGGTTGGAATTTCTAATGTCGGCGCGCGCCAGCTATGTCGAGCACGACGATTGCCAAGAAATCGTTTCGCCACTTTGTTTCGTCGTTTTTACGAATCTGTCCTACCGCTGTCTCTTCATTCTCTCCCTGTCGTGAAAAAGTTCGTATCGATTCGCGAGGGCATAAAATTCGTAATCCGAATCGACGAAAGGGGTCGAAATAACGAGATGGGTCCTTTTTATATTCCCGGCAAGCCGGAATCGCTTGTTGGACGCGAGCGCGAAGCTGTTCGCGTTCGGCGTATTAATGACGGTGCCATAACGTGGGCATTTATTTCTCTATCGGCGGCATCCGTTGAAAGCCGTGCGCCGCGGCCGGTAGAAAACGATGGAAATTTATACAGAGCCGATAATTAGCGAGCCGAATCGGCTCCTGGGAGGAGTAGCTCAGTGGTCAAGCGTAATCGCCGTAATTTATGCCCGCTGCTCGGGATATAAGCTTGTTGAGATAGGCCAGGAGCGTAAAAAGGGGCACGGCGAAAATGTCGCCCAATTAACGGCGAATTGGAGCGGTCGAGGTCGCGCGCGTAGGTATAGAAGCTGTTCC